GCGTTGTTCTGGTGTAAGTTGGCTTATGTGTACCTCTGTGTACACTCCTTGTTCCTTCATTGACTTGATTTCTTGCTTCATTCCTTCAGTTGTTTGTTCTTTGTCTAAACCTTCGGTGTTGCTCACCCAAGGTTCCAGGAGAATCTTTTCTGCTTTGATCTCCTGTGTTCATCCTCATTTGATGTTGCTTCTATCTTCTGTCCTTTCTTTGTTGTGACTGTGACTTGTGATATCCTCATCCTTGTTGTTGGTGGCTCCTGAGCTGTCTCAGGTCTGCTTGCTGCTGTGGCTCTCTCTGTTGTTCTTGCTTGCTTTGGTGAGCTGCCTTGTGTGATCTCATCTGCTACTTCTCTTTTGCCTTGTGTCGGCAATGGAAGTGGCTGCCTTGCTGGCTGAGTTGCTGGCGCTGTTGCCATTGGAAGGTCTGTAAGTGCTGGTGGTGTTGTGGCGTGTGGTTGTTCCATGGCTTGTGGCTGTGGACTCCGCTGAGTCTGTGTACTTGCTGTTGTCTGCTGCTTTGCAGCAGCGGGTTGTGGTAGTACCACAATGCTTGGTGTTGTTGGTGGTATCATGGCTGGCGAAGAGTTGATGATGTCCATCAACTGCTTGTTGTACTTGTCTGGCTTGATTTGTCTTCGAATGGTCCTTGCTTTGACCACTTTGTTGCTGATGCCAAGTATGTTCTCGTTTGTTGAGTTGTCCTTACCTAGCCAGATGGCTGGGTAGAACCTTGCTTCCATCTTTGGCATATGTTTTGCTGTTGGTAGCATGTAAAGAACTGTTTCACCAAATTCACATATTGGTGTTTTGTGTTCTTTGCCCCATCGTCTGTAGTAGCTTGTGTTTCCATCTGAGTGGGTGGAATACCTGTTGAGCAGGTATGCTGCGTGTTTGACAAGCCACGGCATGATGGGATGCTTGCTGTTGAGCTTGATGCCATAGTTGGTCTCCAATTGGAGTTTGAGAGCTCTGACTTGGCCCATCAATGTTCTGTGGAAACGTTCAACGCTTCCTTGTGCTTGTGATGTGTAGGCTGGTGCTTGCCTGACTGCTATGTTGCTACCCATGGCTGTTGCCACCATCTTGAGCAAGGTGATGATAAAGTCTTCCTGGTCTGATTGAAGAACGGTGTTGTTGAGAATTGCATGTGTTCTGCCACATTCCATGAGGAATTGTTGAAGGCAAACTGACAGGTATTGTACGTGTTGTGTCTTGTCCTCAAGTTGGACTGCCATACACATGCCTGTTTCAACGTCCACTGCTGTAAGGACTGATGTTGTTTGCTTTTCTCCTAGTGCTTTGTAGTACATCAGATCCACTTGGATCACTGGTGTTTTGCTTGTTTGCTTTGGATGGTTGTCCTGTCTTCCTTTGCTTTGTACACATGTTGGACACCAGCTTCTGTAGGGAAGGTGTGTGAGCTCGTGTTCTCTTCTTTCTTGTTCTGTTGGTTGTTGTGGTGTTGGCACTCCTTTTGCTCTCTTGGCTTCTTGTTGCTCCTCTGGCTCATCTGTGATGAACTCATCTTTGTATGATGCGTGTTCTTCAAAGTTTGTTGAGCCTGTCCACTCTATGTCGAGTGTTGCTTTCCTCTTTGTCGTCCAGTCATCATCTATTCTATATCCTCTGTTGCCACTTGTTGGTTTCACCATTGTTTGTCTCCACGTTGTCAGTCTTGTCACGTCTGGTCCATCATCTGTTTGTTGTGGAATGTACATGTCCCTTCTTGGTTGGACATGCACACGTTTCCAATATGGACCTTCTTTGATCCAATAGTCCTGTGTTGGACTGACTTCCTTTGGATGTGGAATTGCTGTTTGATATGGCTGCGTTGTGGTCATTGCTTGGTCTGTTGGCCTTACCTCTGTGAGAGGCTTCTTCACATTGTGTCGGTACATTGGTGCTTGTGGTTGGTCAACTGTGGTTTGTTGAGATGGTGTCGCTGGCTCTTTAGCTGGTGGAAGTGCTGGTTGTGGTGGTATGTTGCCTGGAAGTACTGTTCCACGTTTCACTTTGAACCATGTTTCTCCTGTCCAGTTGTTTCCTTGTATGATCCTCTTCTGTTGCTTCTTGTCGAGGTCTTGGTATGCTTCTTCCATGACCTCTGTGTTGTTGTTTGGTCTTTGTATGATTGTTCTTCTGTAGTTCTCCAACCTTTCTGTTGGAACTGGACATCTGCTGTCTGGCATGAACAATGCCTTGCGTGTTGTCCTGTGGACTCTTACCAAGAAACCTTGGCTGTTGAATGTCCATAGGTCATTCTTGTTGCGAAGGACTTCCATGCCTGTTGGAGTCAGTGTGACTGGTGCTATTTTTGCTGTTGTTCCTTCTGCTGTCTGGCTGACTTCAAGCCTCAAGTTGGCTGGAAGTGTGATCAGCACAACTGGCAAGAAGTATAGGCCTTCTCGTTGTTTGAGTGCTGAGTTGAATCCCTTGGTGTGTGTGATTGTTGGTGTTTCGTTGAGTTGTGTGTTGAACCCTTGTTCTGCCAGTCTTGTTACTGACATGATGGGTTGCGTCACATCACACACATAGAAGGGAACAACTATTGTTTGCTTGTTGGTGTTGTGCATGTACACCCATTTGTAGCCATGCACTGGGATATCCTCATCTGTTGCTGTCCTCAACCTAGGTCCTTGTCCTTGTTGTAGTGGATACAGTGGTGTGTCTGGTGCAAACCATGTTGGACAAACGTGTGTTGCTGCTCCACTGTCGATCATAATGTCCACCTCGTTGTCTCCTCTCTGCTGCTGCACTGCTTGAGCTGTGGTGGTTGCTTCATTGTGGGCACTTGCTGCCTGATGGCCCAGTGCTCCCACAAGTTGTATTGTTGGTGTCTGCGTGTTGGTTTGTGGCGCTGGCAAAGCTAGTTGTTGTTGTTGTTGGACTGGCTGGATATTGTAGTTGCCTGACTGGTCGTTGCTGTACCAGTAGTTGTCGTACCCACTGTTTGGGTCATACCATTGGGATGTTCCATCCTGGTTCTGTTCCTGCGGTGTCTCTGTCATGTTGTACACCGCTGTTCGGCAATCCTTTGCCAAGTGGCCCTGTTGACCACATCTGTAGCATATTGCTGTTGGATTCTTTCCTTTTCCTTTGTTGGGAATTCCTTTCGACTTTCCTTTGTTGCCTTTCTCTACTCCTTTTGGCTGATACCATTGCTGTTGTTTTCCTTTGCCTTTTCCTTTGTTATAACTGCCGTAGCCGCCGTAGCCCTTTCCTTGTTGGTATCCTCTTCCTTTGTGACCTCCTTTGTTGAATCCTTTTCCTTTGTTCTTTCCTTTTCCTTTTCCTTTGCCTTTGTATGTTGCTCCAATGTCCATTGGAGCTGGGCCTCCTCCTAGATTGCTGCTGACTGCTGAAGACGACTGTTGTTGAAGTCTTGAGAACGCCGTGGTGGTCCTGTAGTACTCCATGATTGTTGTCCTCACCTCAGCATATGTTGGTGTTGCACTGGCATTGAGGTGTAAGTGTTGTTGGAGTGGTCCTGTTGTCTCATTCATGAGAACTGCTATCTTCACTTGGTCTGGTAGTTGTGCATTGTTGTCACGCTCGTAACGTGCAAGCTCAAATTCCCATGTTGAGAAGGACTCCTCAAAGTTGTTGGTGTCGAACTTGGGTTTGAGTAGTTTTGTGAGGTAGCCTATGCTTCTTGTTCCAACAGGTATTGCAAACCTGTTGCAAAGTTGCCTGTAGACTTCCAAGCCCATTGCGTCTTGGTATTGTCTGCATATTGTTGCTGCTGGGCCGCTGGTGATGTTGATGAGGATGTACTTGAGGTTGTTACACAGTTGTGTCCACTTCTCTCCTTCCTCTATTGTTGTTGCTGCACCAAGCAGCTCTGCATCTGTGAGCACTGTTGCTGCTCGTTCTGCTCTTGACAGCAGTTGTGGAAAGATGTTGTCTTGTAGGCCCATGTACGCTGAGAACTTGTACTTCCATTCCTCAAATGTTGCATAGTTTCCATCGTATGTTGGAGGTTTCAACTTCAGCCTGTGTGTTGATGCTAGGGCTTCTGCTTGTGCTTCTCCTGCTGTTGGCGATCCTATCTCATATGCCGTTGCCATCCTTGTTGTTGAGAGTCCCCCACACTGTGTAGTTGGGATCAAGCCCTCTTCCTGTGCGCTTTGTTGTTGTGTTTGTTTCCTTTCCTTGTCGTTGCAGTGGTGGTGTGTTGGGCCGCTACCCTTTGTTGCTCCAGCTGTTGTTGAGAGTCCCCCAGTGTTCTGGGATCAAGCCCTCTGCCTGTTGGAGCTCACCTGGATGCTTCCAGGATCACCGCTCCGCTACCATGTAAAATGGCAGTCGACTGTTGTATGAACTGTTGATGCCGGAGTTGTGCGCACTGTTGCCTTTTGCACTGTTGGGCAATGGCTCAAGGCCTGTAAGCCACATGTGAGACATGGTATGCATGTTGGGACCAATGTTACATTCTAACAAATTATATATATATATACTGTATCATTATCATCCCTGAAATCCCTTAAATTGAAATATACTTCCCTAAAATCATACTATGGTCACTAGGTAATAATTAAACTAAATATATCTAAATTTTCATCAGATTGATGGGTAATATGGTATTTCAGTTTTAAATCGTCTAAAAAATCAACAATGATCCACAACTCTCCATATTCCCTAATGTACTCTACAAGACATTTCATAATCACATTACAGTCCTCAAAACATGAAATCACCCACAAACTATCATATGAATTAATTCATACATATTCATGCTGTTCATTCATATACCATTTTATATCATCACTAATGTTGGTAAAAACAATAGTAAAACCATCCCCAATTTCACGCCATAATTAAATGGGTGGTGATAAACCATCAAAATATGGATGGTTTATTATTGTTTTACCACCATTCATCATCCATAAAAAAAATATTTACCCATCTAAAATTGTGATTTTCCATAGTTATGTTAGTTTACCACGGGGAAATCCCCTAAAATCCCTGGATTTTTCCATTCCAAACGCCACCCAAGTGGCGCATCTTGCGCCAGGCGTTTCGCCAGGGCTTCTCCGAAGCCGCCCGAGGCACCGGTGATCCACACCACCTGGGGTACCCCAAATAGTATGGATCAGGGCCGATATTCTCGACGAATGTTTGTCCCAACCTGCTAGCATATTAACCATATTAACTTGGCTGCTTTCAAGCTCTGCAATGCCGTTCCAGCCTTCCCAGCGAAGTAGTCTGGAACACTTGCCTAGCGCAAGATCTTCGCATGGGTTCCATTGCTTGGAAGGCGTGGAGCCAAGGGTGGCTTTCCAAGTGCCCGCACATGTATAAAGGAAGGCAACTAGGGTTGGCCCTTCAGAACTCCACCAAACTATTGTAAAAAGGACAAATTTGAAGCCCTATAATATAATAGGTGGTATAATAATATGACATGTTGTTGGATGCAATATCTCTTGGAAATCTCTTGGATATGTCATTACAGAACATAGCAATAGATAGCAAATGGTTATATGCTGGGGTCAGTATGGATCAGTACTGGAAATGGAAATCTGCCGATGTTCAATCTAACAATTAGCGATCGTATTACGAAACAGTTTCTTGCGTCCGTGCTTCGAGATATGCTCACCGGCTATACTTAACGGCGAAAATTCGCTTGAACATGATTTGCCTCTTAAAGTCGGTATGTCATCATTTCTGAATTGAATAATGATCCAAGAGATCAACGTCACTGTCAAGAAATCTCAATTTTAATCAGATTTCAACCAGACATATCAGAATCGCCCCATGGCAATGGCTGGTGGCCAAGCCCGCCCCGCCTGCCCAAAGATACCTCCCATGGCCACCGCGCTCGAGCTCCGGGTTGAGCCCACGCCGCGCGGCGAAGTTTTCGTCGAAGCTCCCACGGTGAGAGCCGCCGTGGCGGCGAGGATGGAGGCCTTCTCAAGCCTGGATGGGATCTCCCTTCCACAAGGGAAACTCGTGGTGAAATCCATGGAAAAAGGTATACGGTATACCTGATATACAAATCATGGGTTAGAGCCACATCTTTATATAATATTATATAATTAGTAGGTATTCATAGGGGATTAAGCATCAAAAATGATCAAACCATGTGGAGCCGTTGCCAACGGTTGGCAAAAGTAAAGATTATTGAGCACTTTTGGACGTTGAAGCGGCATTTTGGTGGCGCCGGCAATGGATTCTGATGGATTCTGCACCTTTGCAAAATTGAGCCAAACGTGTGGGTTTTGTAGCAGTTTCAAAAACGATGGCAGGCGTGGGACGTTTGAAGAGGATCTGTACTCATGCATTTTGCGTGGCAGGGCAGTACAAGAGACACCTCCATCACACATGTTAGGAGGTCAGGGCGCTGATTTCCTCAGAGGGGTCGCATTTTGGAGCATCAGACCTTCAGGTTTGAGAAAGATAATTGCAAAGAAACGAACAGGAGAGAAAGAGAGAGAACCAGAGACTCACGGCCTCAACCACCTTTCGACCAGTGGGTTCGCTCAGCATCCATGCGTCACAACAACCAAACCGCTCCTTTTTCGGTTTCCTATCTTTCAAACTTCCGCGTATCATGGAGGTGAAAATCCCATAGTTAAGACGTTTCTGTGCCTTTAAAAAGCTATCAATGGATCATATGATATATTTTAATATAGCTTATGGGAATATCATAGAACCAATGATATGGATATATATCAACATCACCCCAGCTCTGAGTCCATCACATCAACCCCCTGACCGAGCCATTGCCTCAATCTCCTCGCGTATCTCCGGCCCGCTGGCTGTGCCCTTGAGGCGGACAAGGGCCCGCCGGCGCCGAAGACTGGGACGTAAGGCCGAGCGCACCCAGCCGGGGACAGCATGGCTGAGCCAAGAAGGTCGACGTTCACCTGGGACCTCCACCATGGATTTGCTGATTTGGGGGCTGTAAGAAGTGATATTCTCAGGAGATTCCCTGGTTTTGGTGGATTCACCGATGGCAAAATAGAAAACCATTCTGTTCGGAAAGTCCAGATCTATGTCAATTGGCTTGGCTAAAGGAAGATCCTAAAGGAAGCCATCATGTTTTTCCTGGTGAACAGATGTGAACAGCTTTAGGTGCCTCCACGGCTCCACGGAGCTCTTGCATGTCTTTTGCCAAGGCTCTTCATGCACGCTCTTCGCAAGCGTTCCATAGCGCCTACCGTCCAGTGGGGAACATCATTGATCCAAGGTGGGGGTGGGAAAAAAAACATGCCAGGCAGGTTTCGAACGACCAACTACCGTAATTCAAACTGGTTGGTGGTTTCAACCCCTCGGACACTATTAACCAGTTGGGACTATCATCCCAAAAATATATAAACATATCCAATGTTGGAGAAAATCTTTGAAACCACCAATCAGCAAACTAGGCATGGCAGGTCCCATCGAAGATCATCGACGGTATGATGAGGAGAGCTCCATGATTACCACACTACCCGCCCAGGAGCTTTCAATCCAGCATCATGCCTTCCAAGACTTCTCGCCCGCATGGCTCGCGCATGGCAACACACCCGAACTTTTGGAAAGAGGGGGCCTTCCAAATCTATAATCTAAGAAATCAATCTTAGATACTGGCACCCTGCTTACCGTATAACAAATTCATCCATCTCTGGTAGAAAACGGGTCTTTTTTGTGGGCTTGTCATCCGCCTGGTCTGAACATGTTGATACCCCCAAATCCCATGGTCATCATCCCAACTAGGGGATATACATGGATATACACCATTTTCAGACACGCCCATGTTAGCTCAACATACAAATCCATCACAATTCATCCATGTCTGGTATGTAATAATCACCAGAAAAACTCCTTTCCAGGATGGCAACGATGATATTTACCTCATATTTCCAGGTTTCTAACTGCTCGATCAAGTTTGGGGTTGCTGTATGGAATTTTGCATTGCTCATTACACACTATATATAATTATTCTTGAAACATATCTTTGTCTTTGTGATTGAACAAATCATGAATCATGTGGTCAATAGGTTCTTCTTGCTAATATACTGATCAATTTTACTAGTGGAAGTTATATAATTGCTCTGAATCTCAGCAAAATTCAGCATTGTTTGGCTGGCTAAAGATGCCAACCACTAGTTGGCCAAATGTATTTTGCACCAGGGATGGATTCAACTGATTTCTCCGCCACCACACGTCAGGAACATGCTGCTGCACACCCAACGCACAGGTTTGAACCCCCAACCGGATACACATTTGACAGTTGACATAAAGATCATAAAGTTGAAACTCTCGACTTTCCATAGAATCATCCGTTGAACATTGCGGGGAGTTTTCCCAGTTACAGCCTTCCAGCTGAGTTAAGGGTATGTCTTTTCGACCGACTGTCCACAACAAACGATCATCTGTGGATGGAGGAAGCCCCGTAATTTTTACCCCTGGCGAAGCAACATATACCTGCAACAGTTGAAGAAATGAATTCAACAGCTGAAGAAATGAATTCACCAGTTGAAGAAATGAATTCAACAGCTGAAGAAATGAATTTGGTCCAAGTAACAGTCAGGTGGTAACGGACTTGATCCATGAAACAGGACCCGTCAGCGCTCACAATGGTGAAAGTTCGACAATCTTCGAAATGTGACTCTCAGTTTCAGGAGGAAAATCCCAGGCCACTGTGAGGAAAACCATGTCCTATTTGTTGAAACCATAGTAACCATATTTAGTTATACCGTTATACCCATTATATAAACATTAGTAACCTGGCACTTTCCAAGGCTAAAATCTTTGGCAAAAATGGGCCACAGGCCCTTGCCAACGCTCGGTGCGGAATTCACCCGCCTCCAAAAGAATGGGATCGCTCACTGCAGGAACTCGAGGTGCAAACACAAAATGACCGATTGACCGATCGCGACTGCGGGTGAAAGTTATTCACTTAGTTGCAGGAAAAGATACTCTGTATTATGTCAAAGAGGAACAGTCAACAACCATTCAGGACAAAGGGTATACAAAGGGTATAGAGGTCAATCTGTCTACTTTCGCCTTCCCTGAAGTGGCTCCGAAACAATGTCACAATGGCATCAAGGTAAGAAAGAGACATCTAATCTAAACAAATCACCGGGCCCCAAACCAAAACAAATAACTCGAATGGATTTTCAAGGGCACCTGTTCTTGGATATGCCCAAAAGGTACATTCTCCCAGACAGTCTTAGTGGAACCAACCTGAGTCTCTCTTGAGCTTTGGTCAATCCCAAGTTCCCAGCAGCAACCCAGAGACCGGTTTTTCAGAAAGGCTTATGCTTGACCCGGTTGGGCATCTGCGAGAAAGGGATAGAGGAGCGAAGCAATGCGATGCTTCCAAAACCTTGGTGACTCTTGGTGAGTCTGGTGCCGTCTTCCGGCTGGTTATAACACATTACACCATGTTGCTTCCCCGGGGACAAAAACTTCACCGTCCTTAGTTTCATATCATGGGTATGTGTCAAAAAATGGGGTACCACTTAGATCCACTTAGCACACTTAAAACAAGCTAGTCATTTTTAGCAGTGAAGCAATCCCCGAAAAGATACCAACAATTGATTTACAGCAAAGTCCTCATTAATCACCATTCATCAGCATTAAACATCATTAATCACCACTATTTTAGGAGGATTTGGCTCTCCCTTCCTTGTGGAAGCCAAGCCCAAAAAGTTAAGTGCCAAGCCCGGGAGGAAGCCATCCATCTGCTTCCAAGCGCTTCCCTACCTGGCAACGATCCAGCGCAACATGCCACTAGATATGCCTATAGATCGACATTACGTAGATATTGCATACATGTGATACGGTATAATTTATGTCTATAGTCTATACATATATCTTCATGTCATTACCTATTACATCTATATACATATAATTAATTAATACAATAACGTGTCTATATAATGTAAATTCATATGTGCTGCAATCCGAAATGTTGCAGTACCTCAACGGTTGGAAACGGAGGATTCAGGAGCTACCTCATTGGTAAACGGTTGAACCGGAGGATTGACACTCAATCGCCCCCACGGCCTGTGATCTTGGAAAACACGGAGGCATTTTTTGGCATTATGTTGAGCTGGTTGGTGGTTATTTTAACCATCTTGAAAAATATTAGTCAATGGGAAGGATTATCCCATATATATTATGGAAAATAAAAAATGTTTGAAACCACCAACCAGTGAGTCTTGAATATGTCTTCTGCTGTCCCAGTGAAAATCTAGGCCCAGCAAATCATAGCAAATCTAGGGCCCATCAGCTGCAAAATTGCAAGAATCTGGCCCTCAGCGGCCTTGGATTTGCCTCTCAATAGGTTCCCCAAAAATCCCCCACAGGTTCGATTAAGCAAGTGGAACATGAAACGAGAGGTGGTCCAAACTCCAATGATCCTGAGGTGACCCGCCGGTAGTTTCTTCAGGCGACATTTGTCAGTCGCAGAAATCCAGATTAGTGTCAGCTATGACAGCATGAGTAGACCCCAAAAAAGTAATAAGTCCAACTTGCCGGTTAGGGGATCACTTAGAGCACCGGAAAGTGAATCACTTAGAAAACCAGATCACTTAGAGCACCAAAAAGTGGATCACTTAGAGCACCAGAGAATGAGACCTTTAGGATTTACCTTGGGGACACAGGGCTGGGACATGGGGCGGGTTTAGGGGACAAGTCGGGACACGGGGCTGGGACATGGGGTGGGTTTAGGGGACAAGCATGGTGGATTAGAACCAGAGAATCAGACCTTCAGGGCTTAACTTGGGGACACGGGATTGGGACGCGGGTTCGGTTCTTGGAGGGACTACTGGTTGATTTCGGGCCGGAAGGTGGATCACCTGGAATGTATACCTGCGCGCATCTATCAATGTCACTACGTGCGTGCTTCAGTGCTTCAGCGTGTAGTAGGCACGTATGAATGTGTCCATTTATGTGTCTACAGTATGTCTCTGTATCTATATGTAGCTATAGCGCTATGTAATGCTATTTATCTCTTATGTCTGTGCGTGTCACTTTTTGGCGTTCCAAGCGATCCACTTTCCGGCGCTCAAAGCAATCCACTTTCCAGCGCTCCAAGCGAACCCCCGACCAATTCGAACAATGATACGCCTCATATTTCAACTCATATTTTCCCATGTTAATCAACCACAGTGTTCAGCTTATGATGGCCTTCAAATGATTGACATCTTCAAATCCTGCCAGCCGTTGGCATCCATCCTGATTGTCCTGACCATCCTGGCCCCTGAGCTGCTTACCATGAGCATCTCCAGCACCAAATCACTATGAAGCTGAGCATAAATCCCTGGCAGAGATGATACGGCAAGGATTGTTGGCCCAGCTGGTGGTCCAAGGGTTTCCATCGTTTCCAGGGCCATTCAACATCAATGGGCCCAGATTCAGCTCCGGCCGTCCCATCTTTCGTGTCCCACAAGGCCCTTGTGGGGGCCTGCAGCAGCCGTTCGGATGCCAATGTGACGGTCAGCACGAAGTTGCTTGAGGCCCTGCAGGCCGCGGGGATGGCCGGATGCGGCCTAATGTAGTGTGAATAGAAACTGCACCAACCATTCCAAAATGGTGGACCCCCCAAAATAGAACTGGCATACCACCAAAAAATGGAATCCTAGCTTTCTTGGGGGCCTGATAAGTGCCGCACACCAAACTCAGCGAAACAACGCAATCCTAAATGATGAAGACGTGATGGGCATCCATAGCTCTGCATGGCCATCCCCAGTCAGCGTGTCAGCCATGTCTTCACAGACTTACCACGGAAAATCCCAGCCGCCCAGCCCCGCTGTTTGGCAAATGGAGGGCGCCTTGTCTGTCTCGATGAATTTCATACTCTCCTTAGTCACTTGCCATCAGCCTGGATCCTACTGGATCCTACTGTCCGGGCTTGGCCGTGAGAATGGCCCTTGGCACTGGAAGTGACATGGACATGGTGCAAACATGGCCATCTCCAGCTGCCAAGGTGCTTCATCATTCTCCGCCGGCCACAGCTTGAATCGAGCTAACGACCACAGTGCCTGTCATGACCCACGACCCACATTCATCGGAGAGGTGTCACAAGATACTCAGCTGATCTAGCTAGCTTTACATTACATCTCATATCGTAACACGTATTGAATATCTGCAAATTGTGGATGGCTACTTCGTGTGTCCGTACGCATGCATGCGAGCATGACCATGAATGTGCACTCAAGAGCATCCATTCCAGTGCACAAAATGTGCAAGCAAACGGCGCAAACAACTTCCACAAAAGACGCACTATCAAGTCACTATCAGGTCACTATCAGCACGGCAGATTGCTGGTTCCTTTGGTAATCTAACCAACAGGACATGGCCAGGACATGGCAATTGAAATTCGGAAACTTTTCAGAAGGCCTCCAGCACCAAACGTCGGCCTTCATAGTCCGTCTCAACCTGGGAAGCTGATGGTCTCGGAGCTATCCAAAAACCACCAGAAACATCCAGAAACCCTGGTTTAGCATGGGGATTTACATATACACTTGGAACCACTCAAGGAGTGGTTAATATTAGGATTGCAAAGAAATATCAAGACGTATAAAGAATACATTTGAATTGCCATCCTAACAACACAATGCGATGTTGGCGGAAGACACCTCGACGAACCCCCCTTTTCCGCGAAACAAAGCCTAAGCCCCCTGAAAGAAAATGACGTGAACCATCTTCCAATATGCCATCCTCAAAGATCCAGCTGGTTGGTGGAATCATCCCAAGTTTATTAGGTTTTGTTAATGTTTGTTACTAGTAGGTTGGGATATCCCATGGCATCCACACTTCGGAAGACATCTGGGGCATCCCCAACTGCAGCCAAGCTATGCCAAGCTACTCTCGGTGGAGGTCCATTGGGGTTCACTGCTCTCAACAAGAGGTGCACCACCTGAAGCCCAGGCGGGCTTGGCCTTTTTAGCCTAGGGCTCTCCATGGGTGGGTCTCCTTAAACCATGGGGAAACCATGGATCAATATATATATATATATATCAATATGATCAATTCCATTGGGGAGTGATGTCCAACAAAAACACCGTTTTTTTAGTCATTCCAGCCATGCAGCTTCCTACATCTATAGATCATCTAGTGATGCCTCTAGCTGTTTCTGTTGGACGTCCATATATATTGCTGGGTCATGGTTCCATATCACCTGCGGTTCCCTCATATATTATTGCTATCATCAGAACCAAAAAGGATGTCTATCTCCTCAAGGATCCTTGAACTGCAAAGATCTGGCGATACGGCTGAATTGGCATGACTTGGCAAATTTTCTGTGCCCCCAAATCAAGGAGCTCACGATGCTAGATGGCCAAAGGCCTCAGATCTTAATGAGCAATGAACTATCCAGAACTCCTCTAATTTGGGACTTGTTAGCCCAAGCATGGGTGAAACATGGTGAAACCAACATGTAGTTGAACGCAACATCCAGACCTATTGGTGAAAATGCTCATGCGGTGATGTTCGAACCACTTGAATCTCCATGTTCATCGATCCTTGCTATTCACACATTCAAGAATCACACAGAACTCCCGGATAATCCAACTGTTGACTATTCCTGATGGGGAAAACATTGAATGCATTTCTTCTTGATCAGAGAAAAATCGAAGTCATGGTGAAAATCAAGGTGAAGCGCTGTTCTCCCCCATTCTTGAGGATTTTAGTGGTAAAAACATGTAAAAAAACTGCCGTGTTTGGTGATTGTGTGGTATCAGCGACCATCACACCGCAATCAATGCCACCTTATGCGGATCTTGCACCAATCGTTCTGCATAGTGTCGGCACCTGTGGTTGATCGTTGGAAGATCCACCAACAATAATATCTGCTTGGTAGTTGACCTACCCTCTGAAAAATATGAGTGAGTGGGGATGATTATCCCCAATATATGGAAAAATAACAACTGTTCCAAACCACCAACCAGATATGAATGAACGAATGAATGATGGGTAATTGGAATACCCTCTGATCTCTGGTAGTTCAACCGTTTGCGAACTGGCAACCATGGCCCAGAAATAGTTCAATGATTTCCCTATTGAAAATGGTGATTTTCCATTGCTCCGTTCATTTACGAGAGGGCAAATTTTTGCCATTCTTGACCCATTTTTTGGGACCTCAGTAGGGAGTCCTTTCCATCGGGGCACCAGAAAACACCCCCCAGCCTGGAGAGAACCTGAAACAACTTCGCACTGTACAAAAGGTGGGGGAACATGCCACCTGAGCCGGCGGATGATGGGACTGGACCAAAATCTAAAGATGTGATCTGCCGATCCAAACATAAACAAAAGAATGATGATTAGCAGCTGACCTTCACTTTAAACCATCCAAATTTGGAGCATAGGGGACCTTCTGGAGATCGTGGTCGTGGTCCGGACTAGCCCTCCACTGGGCTTCAAGATCACTGCAGGCTAGGCCCAGGGCGAAACTCGGAGCCCTTCAGCGTATGGGCCTCAGTGGGGGTGGAGCATTGAAGTAACGTTGTCTTTTCGGGAGTAAAAGATGGTGGCCTTTGGATGGTTTTGGTACCATTTAGATTTAGCATCACTTACCCATGGAATACCCGGTCGATTACAAAATGCCCGGCATTTGAATGTCCAGCCCAACAAAAAGCATCCCTTTCAGGAATTGACCCCTCTCCAGTTCAACTTCGGAAGCCGGCCCTCATGATGGTTAAAATGGACTTCGGATCGAAGGCAAAACAATGAAACGGAGGAAAACCTACAAACATGATGGAAGAAATCCTACACCCCCATAGGTGAACCAATATAAAGTCGCATAAACACAATTAACCACGCACACACACACACATTTCTTTATATATAATATAAACTATACAAAGTCTAGCAGCAAAGTACGGATCAACCCACATCGTGAAAAGCCCGAGGCTACTTCCACCATCCCACCCCGATGTCCCGATCCAGCCCGATGTCCCGAGACGTCGCTCCGAGGAGCCATAATTGGAATGCAGTAGTTGGTCACCACGGATCTATCCATCAAGATATCCACCTGGGTCGATTTCTCCTCGCCATGGAGGAAGATGATGACCGACCTCGTGTCGGAAAACCCATGGAAAACCATGGAAAACCGACATCCTTGGCCTGGTTTGAACACGTTGGAACACACGTCATCAAGGAATTCATCCTATATACAGTAGCCTTACATATCCTTATATAATCTATCTATAGATATGTTAGGTATTACCCTCTAGTAAATTAACATAGACCCTGCCAGATAGGGGTTGGAAGATGAGTTTCCACTACAACTTGGTGATTTTCACAGGGTATGCCTCTGGTACAGTTTTGGTCATCCATGGTTATCCTTGCATCGGTGCCATCTGAACTAAGCATCCCAACTCGGCCACACTCTTGCCTCGATGTACCACGAGGCACAGAAAAAACACACTTGGACCATGCTGGATCAACAACCTACGTCCAGAACATGTTCCAATACCAGGGTACCAACAATCCATGTCAACACGAGGAATGATGGGATTTATGTACTACCATCCAAACACCTAACATGCTTGGATGATTGGATACTATCTGCTCATTTATGGTGGCATTCATGACCTTTTAACTGGCAACCTCTGGTCACCATATTATACTCAACGGACACCTCTAGATTGTAGATGTTCCAACGGGATTTTTGCATATCCTGGCCTTGTTCGGAGATGGCGCAATTTTCCACCAGTTGCAGTAAAACATTGGCCTTGGCGCATGTCTGCCAGTCGGGGGAAACATGCGTTACGAAAGCCCTCGCTGTACCAATCTCAAATTGTTTTTACTGTATTCATTTCAACCTTCATGACCTTAGAGACTTGCAACTTTCAACCAAAGCAAAGCCATTGGTTCTTGAGTATCAATTGCTCAGCCAGATGTTTGCATGACTTGTCCAGAATCTGCATCGTTTTCCACCAAATAAAACCATAAAATCCACCCTGCCCTTGGAGGCTCTGACTACTTGTAGCTCTCGCAATTCATTCAACACCGTCATGGAGAGGTTGGCCTTACGGCCAGGTCTACGTACCCAGGATGCATTTCCCAGGCATGTCCAACTCATTCAAAGCCCCTCAGATTTTGAAAGTGCACCATATTTTTGAGGAATCACTAGAAATGTATGAAGTGGGCTTGGCTTATAAATTTCGAGCAACCTTTTTGCAGCACATCACTTGTACCGGCGCCGTCCCTAAATCCAGCCCCAGGAGCCAGCAACAGAATGGTGTTTCCGCGCAGCTTGTCCCCCACCTCTGCCGTCATCAATCCCGCAAGTAGGTACGGGGCCCCAACCACGAGTTCTCAGAGCCGACTAGCAAAAATACCAGTTGCAAGTATGGTTTAGACCTTGGACGTTTGGAGGTTCAAATGGTTCTAGATTCTAGTTCATATGATATCATATATGGTTCCAGAATCTTCTACATAACCTTCCTCACAGTTGCTTCTGGACTGGACCAATTTCGAAACAATTCAGCCGCTCAGCCGGCACGGACCAATGCCCGACCATCCCGACCTGTGGACTTTGTAGGATCTTCAAGCACACCGGCTGAACCTCAGTGGTCATCAGTGATCAGCTGGGACCGCTGGGATTGGTATCACCAATCCCTACTCCTTGTTGCAAACTGCTTGGGGGCCAGCTATGGTGTGAGAGAATTGTCGTAGGAGACCATTCAAGTTTTTTATGTAGGTAAAACATGGTAAAACAATGTCATAAAATTGTCATAAACCACCCATGACTGGGAATGGTAAACATACCACCTTTAAAAAATGGTGATGACTGGGGATGGTTTATGGCTTATGGCATGATTTTACCCACCTTAAATCGGCTTTTCCCAAACGACTTCTGGCCCCGAGGAGCTAAACGAACCAGCTTCAGGTGCCCTGCTGGACCTGAGTATCGCTGCTTGGTGGTTGATCTACCCCTCTGAAAAAAAGTCAGTTGGGATGATGACATTCCCAACTGAATGGGAAAATAAAAGCCATGTTCCAAAGCACCAAGCAGTTCAGCCATGAACAAAACCAGTTTTTGGGTGAACCATGGTGAACCTGTTGTCACTGGCCATGTTCTGATCGATTGCTTTTGATATGTTTAGTTGATAGAAAACCACCTCAACAGCTGAGTCAACAGCAGGTCGCAGCAATGTTTACACACAACAAGATGGCTGCCTGCAGGGCTGTGGGATTCTGCGGCAATCTGCACCCAGCTTGGCCATCCCACAGGTTGCAGCCATCGGGCCCCGCCAAACGGAGTCTGTTCTGAACTAACTCTAGTTTTCGTAACATGTTAGTCAGTTGTGTATAGTTCTACCATAAGTCATTCTATCATAGTTCTGTTAGTTAATCCTTTCCCCCTAATATTAAACAGCCCCTTTGAAACCATGGTTTAGTACGAATTTTTCACATTTTTTGGGGACCATAAATTGGGGTGCAGCCAGCCCGGTGCTGCCTGTAGCAGCCAATCCTCAGAGATCATCAGGGCAGCCTCAGGGCAGTGGGTCATGGCAATTCCATGTAGATTTCAAGATGTTTCAGAGTTGGCATAATTGGAATAACATATTCATTAGAGACCATGGCTTGGGTGGCTTGGAATATTCAAGTCCATGGCAATTCTGTTAGAAACCCATGGCTTGGAATATCCAAAGCGAAGAGATCCTCATTTCTCCGATTCTGTTTCATCACGGCCTTGTCTGAAGAGGAGGAGAAGAGCCGTTGAAAGCGATCAGCAATACGGTCGAAGACCTGCCAAGAGCGCCATATGGCGCCATGTGCCATGTGCCGGAGATTTCATATTCACTCTCTCACTCTCTCTCTCTCACTCACTCTCTCTCTCTCTGTCACTCTCTCTCTCTCTCGCTAAGTGCTCATCATCCTTATTACTATTATCATTATTTGATGTCATTGTGGTTCAGCGACATTCATCCCAGAATCTTCATCAAAATGCCATGACTCGAGAAAGGTGAAAGACTGCAATAAACATCAGATTGCCTTTTCATTTAACTTCCTGTCATCAACAAGGTCGCATGACATTTTTCTCCCATCAGCATGAAGCTTTCCTGACTAGAAATCAAATGGCGCCCACACCAGGGGAAAATGTATGGCTTTAATCAGCCTCTCATGAGTGTTGGTGGTGGTTAGCGACCGCTTACCCCCAAACAACCCCTTATTGGTTTAGAACACCCTTAGATATCAGATTTCCGTGGTGAATGTTATAATACAGCTCAAAAGTGGGAGATGCCCCAAAAGTGTACAAAATTGGGAACATGATTTCACCAAAGAATTTTGGGCAAACCCAGTAGCATAGTCTACCGTGCAAGATCACCTTCAACACCTCCTTGGAGCCCCTGTCGGAATTGAATGCCTAGGAGCAGGATGGAAGGCGAGGCACCCAATGTGCTCATGGGGTCATGGAGTCATGGAGTTGGATATCTGCATTGGATATGAGACACCCCCACAAAAAGAAGGAAGCAACCATCTACTGCCATGAACAGCTTCGCTTTGGTTTGTTCTTTCAACGGGCATACGCAGTAGATTTACTATCGATCTAATGTGAGAATCTTGCAAACAAATGCCATCAAAATGCACTCAATGTGTTTTGGCTGACTGGCATATTCTGGAGCTCCCCTGCTCCATACTTGTGCCTGTTTTTCAGTAGGCTCAAGGGTAGAACGAGGGTTCTTTGTGTTTGCCAAATACCAGCACTTTGGAGAGCTTGGGGAATTTCATCACTCATCCCACACCACGGATTCCACACCTTTCGCTGAGATCCCCAACAAAGTCCCCTAGAAAGTTGGTGGCTGCGGCAGCCACAGCTGAAGAAGCCGTCCTGGTGCATCCAGGATTTTTGGGCGAAAGATTCCCCATGTGGTCCCCAAAAATCCACATGGAGTTTCCGGGCGTCCGGGCTCAATGAGTCTGACGGCTTCAATTACCTTGGGTCGAAGAAGGCAGCTCCAAACATGCCATTGACAAGGACCGGATAAGCCACGGCAATCTAGTTTGCAGTGTTTTTTGTTTTGCATTTTGAGTTCCCGATCATGAGCTTGGTTTCAAGAGGTTTCAAAACCACTTTATCCACATCAACCGGACAGGCTCATTCTTCCTATGTGGCTGGGAAATTGCAGCTCCGCGCCCCATCGCAATATGGACACAACCTGATACAACCATAGCTGCCATAGCTCACTCCAAAGCGCTCCGTGGTAACTGGAAAGAATCAAAAAACTCCCATTCTTGGCTCAATTCTGCCAATCATATATACGTAATTACAATATCCCATTTTATCCCCACAACACACCACCATGATGGTTACCGTCCAGTAAACTAACGCCAAAGTCATGGAAAATCCACATTGGAAAATATCATGGGAGAGGTTCCTCATCCCAATGATATGTTCCATGAAAGCTTCCTCACCCGAAACCATCCATAAGCCTCAAAAACCTCCATGGTTCATCCACATCATTGGAAAATACCATGGGATGTCCATATATTCCACCTATATATTCCATCTATATTCCATCTATATTCCATCTTTCCAAATAATTCATACTGTATATTCCCATATGTTCCTAGTATTTTCATGTATTTTCCCATTTGCCTTAAAGAATCAGCATGGGATTTCGCCATTTCGCCGGGGCCTCTCGGTCTATCTTAGGCTCCGCGCCACCCCTCGCTGTAAGGCCTGACGGACGAACATCTCTCGAGCCTGGCCGAGTCTCGGGGTGCTGTCGACTTAAAACATGGCCAGACATCATGGGGAATGATGAATGGAATATTTATAGGTGATATATCTATATATAATTCATTTTATAATTCTACAGTTAATGGGGTTTATAAACCCATTTATATTAAACTGGTTTATATGGAATATTAAAATGTTTTAGATTATCTATCTGACATTAATGATTGGATATTTCCATTTATAGTTGATTTACCAATTAATAGCATGGTGATGTTCAATAGTTATATTAAATTACCAGAGGGGAATATTTATAGGTGATATATCTATAATTCTATAGTTAATGGGGTTTATAAACATTATAAACAAATTTATATGAAAAACTGGTTGGTGGTTTTAAAAAACATCTTGAAAAATATGAGTTCGTCAATGGGAAGGATGACATCCATATAATTCCATAATATATATATATATATATGAAATGGAAAAAAAAACAAATGTTCCAAACCACCAACCAGTAAACATCATTCAATGTTTAAGACATCATGAACAACTGTTTTTAGATTTTTTATTTATCCCTATGAACATACACGGGAGGGGGTCCTGCAAGCCATTTTATAGACATAAAATGGTTTTCACTATAAAATGACTAGACACTGCTTATAAAATGAGTGGCCCCAACCCAAATGAAAACACTATATTTTGAGGGGGCCTGACCCCAGAACACCTGGAAATTACTTATAAAATCTCTATAAAACGACTGGTTCCCTTTACAAATGGTCAAGGCGCAAGTCAACAGATTTCAGCACCTCACTTAGAATGAAACCATGTTGCCATTCCTTCATTTTGATTTTGCCATTCCTTCATTTTGCTTCCAATGCCGCCCAGTGCCAACCCTGGCGTTTCAATGGGCAGTTTTGGAATAGTGTGGGCTACTTGTCCTTAAACCTTCAACCCACCATGAAGTTGGTGATTGAGCCAGCATCTGCCATCCTTTTGTATTCCTGGATTTTGCTTCCAATGCCTCCAAATGCAAGCCCTGGCCTCTCAATGGGCTATTTTGGAACAGCCTGGGCTACTTGTATGATTTCCAAGTGCTGCCACTATAAAATGGCTGGCCTCAACCTTTCAACCCACCATGAATTTGGTGATTGAGCCAGCATCTGCCATCCTTTTGCATACCTTGATGCCAGCCCTGGCGTTTCAATGGGCCATTTTGGAATAGTGTGTGGCTACTTGTATGATTTCCAAGTGCTGCCACTATAAAATGGCCGGCCCCAACCTTTTAACCCACCATGAAATTGGTGGTTGAGCCAGCATCTGCCATCCTTTTGTATTCCTGGATTTTGCTTCCAATGCCTCCAAATGCAAGCCCTGGCCTCTCAATGGGCTATTTTGGAACAGCGTGGGCTACTTGTATGATTTCCAAGTGCTGCCACTATGAAATGGCTGGCCTTAACCTTTCAACCCACCATGAAATTGGTGATTGAGCCAGCACCTGCCACCCTTTTGGGTTGAAATTGCCTGGAAAGCTGGGTATTCAACCCCATCACCAATTTCAAATTGGGTTGGTGGGTTGAAGCTAGCCATTTGATAGTGGCTAGATTTGGGAATTTGCGCAAGCAGCCCACAAGATAGCACAATGTGGGCTACTGTGTTTTAATGTGGGCTACTTGCACGATTTCCCAAATCTAGCCACTATCAAATGGCTAGCTTCAACCCACCAACCCAATTTGAAATTGGCGATTGGGTTGAATACCCAGCTTCCCCGGCAATTTCAACCACAAAGAATGGCAGGTACTGGCCCAACCACCAATTTCATGGTGGGTTGAAAGGTTGAGGCCAGCCATTTTATAGTGGCAGCACTTGGAAATCATACAAGTAGCCACACGCTATTCCAAAATGGCCCATTGAAACGCCAGGGCTGGCATCAAGGAATGCAAAAGGATGGCAGATGCTGGCTCAATCACCAACTTCATGGTGGGTTGAAAGGTTGAGGCCAGCCATTTTATAGTGGCAGCACTTGGAAATCATACAAGTAGCCATACACTATTCCAAAATGGCTCATTGAAACGCCAGGGCTGGCATCAAGGAATACAAAAGGATGGCAGGTGCTGGCTCAACCACCAATTTCATGGTGGGTTGAAAGGTTGAGGCCAGCCATTTTATAGTGGCAGCGCTTGGAAATCATACAAGTAGCCACACACTATTCCAAAATGGCCCATTGAAACGCCAGGGCTGGCATCAAGGTATGCAAAAGGATGGCAGATGCTGGCTCAATCACCAATTTCATAGTGGGTTGAAAGGTTGAAGCCAGCCTTTTGTGTGGTGGCAGCTGGGCGGCATTGGAACCAAAATGAAGGAATGCAAAGAAATGGTTTGCCCATCTTCCCTGAGCATGTCTTCACATGGCACAGGGCCGGGCTCTCTTTCAGAGGTTGTGCCCCCACCCGAGGCATCTTTGATCAAATGATCAATGGCTGTGGATAAGAACAACCTGGATCATGGCTGCACTGCAAAAACCTAAACAAATCTGGACAAATTTCAGCTACAACCCTGAAATCACTATAAAGTGGGGTGAGTGACCCCCGGAAGGAGCGCCGCTGGAGGTGCATAAAACAAAATATAGCAGACCTTGACCCCTGTCATTTTATAGAGGATATGTTCATGGGTATATTTATTTATCATTCTCAGATGGAATGACTGAAATGCTTTATTTATTCAACGGCAATTTTTGGGAGATAGTGATGATATGTCTGGGTGTTTTACTGAAAAAAGGGGATCTAAATCAACAAAAATACAATGTGGCGCCCCCAAGATAGCTAAGTTGGTTTATAACTCCAATAACTATGGTTTATGGTACTTATAACTATAGTTACTGGGGCTTATAAACCAACTTATAACTGGGGGGCCCCGGGCGGAATTGGCCAAACCCTCTGAGTTGTTAAAGGAATGGGGGCCCAGCGGCAGGTTCCAGGCGCTTTGTTTGGTCGTAGAGCCGTAGATGTATGCAGGCCTATTAGCATCCCAATAGCATACCAGTATGTGTACTTGTAGGCTTATAGCCACCGGACACGCGCACACACGCATATACTGCATACTAGAGAGAGAGAGAGAGAAAAAGCAAAAAAAAGCTATAAGGTATTCCATTGGGTCAGGTCCCCGTCGCTTTGCACGCTTGCACACGCTTGCACACGCGATCAAGAGTTCCTTGGAAAAGTGCCACAAGTCCAAACCCTCCACATCCAGCATTGAACGTGATCGCCTGGGGTTGTAGCTCCTGTGGTCTCAAGGCATAGCTCAGCTCTTCCAAGAAGCGCCTCTCAAAGGGGGATGGCCAGTGAATCATGGGGAAGATGAGGCTTCAATCATCTTGAACCCATGAAATTCGAGGTACATATGATTACATATCTTACATACGGTATACCGGTATACCCCATTGCCAAACAAAATGGGAATGCATGACCAAACCCTAATTTCTTCTCCAAAGTTGAAACACGCCACCCCCAACATAAATTGTGTTTGAAGATAAGTCTAAACCTACAACCAAAAAGCAATGTTGGGTTTTCCTTGTTGTTTTGGGGTAACTGCTGCGTGCCCTCATTTCAGCATTTGACATGATGCCGATGTTCACATGTACGTTGCAGATGCTCGCTGAGGTTCAAGGGGGGGGTGTAATAAGGATCAAGCAGGTGAGCCAAATATTGGAAATTAGATAGAAGACTCCCGCTGGAAGAGTCTTCAGCCATGGCTGCCTAAAATTGCAAGACGTTGTATATAGAGGTTGTCTGAATGCCAAATTCATGCTGGACCTGTGATCATGGCAGATCCGTTTCCAAAATCAACATATAGTAAGTACGTATAGAAGTTGGGTCAACTCTTCAAAACGAAGAATGGAGGCTGAAGACAAAGAACCGAAGAAAAAATGTCAGCTTTGAAAGCCAAATAAAGCCAAAGTTGATGCGCTGCAAAGTTTTTCAGATGTTGACCTGCGCGTGCTGATATCAAAAAATAATGTCACGGAAGCATAACTCACTGTAAATTAATATACTATGCTCATTCTTGACTTACCCTCTGGTAAACTAACATAGCTATGGAAAATGGCCCATTTATAGATGGTTTTCCTATTAAAAATGGTGATTTTCTATAGCTATGTTAAATTACCAGAGGGTAAACCCCAAAACCACAATGATTATTGATTATTAGAAGAACCCACGCCCGCCTCAAGGCGTTATTCCTTTGTTTTTAATGGTCTTTCGGGGGCACCAGGGGAGCTGCGGCCCCGCGCTTCTTCTGTGCCACGTGCACCTTTGGCGCAACGACCTCAATCTCAAGATGTTCATCCCATGGCTGCCCTGGTGATGGGCTTTCTCCCCGTAGCCGACGTAGCCTCTCTCTCTACACCCTGGTCATAAGAATTCTCAGCGAATCTAAGTGAAAGCACTGCTATGTGCATGATCCAGGCGCCACACCATTTCCACTAGAGGCAACAAATGCCTGTGGGCGCAACGGCAGCCATATCGCAGGTTGAACATGTCAAGAGCTTGGGCACAATTCGATGTTCGACTTGGCAAACACTGACGCAACTCACACAAACTCAGCTGGTCACAAAAGCTCACCTACAATTGAGTAGCCTCTGGCACTTTGGGGTACAGTTCCAACCATCAAATGTTATATGCATGTGAATATATTCAATTATATTCATGGGGGTTCGTATGTGTATAAACATATAGTAATGATAATAAGATAAATGATAACAATAATAACATAATAACAATAGTAGTAATACCCCAACTTATGGAGGTTATCACCATGGCTATAACCGTTATAACCGCTACAACCGCTAGAAAAATCACATGGCCCCTGGCCCCCACCTGATTTCTCTGGTGTCTTCCTGGTAGATACCAGTGGCCCTTGGCATTGCCAATGCTTCAAGGCGAAGGCTGAGTTGCATGGCTACCCGATGTTTTAAATAGATATATATATATGGGAATATATATAATGGAATATATATGTTATCTATATATATATATATGGTAACTACATTTAAATATACGGATTTTAAAATATACGAGCAGGTATTTTAGACTACCTCCGGGAAGGTATTCCTTGGCCCGCCTGGCCATCTAAACATGCGAAATCCAGTTCTTTTAAACATATTGTAACTACGTTTAAATATACGAACTGGTATTTTATACTACCTCCTGGGCCTCGCTGTCTGGCCCGCCCTCCACACATTTAAATGTCGTTACCGTAAATTACCGTATATAATATCACCCTGAAAATTATGCTACGTATATATTGTCATTCTCTTGATCCTGTCTGAAAACCTATCTTTAAGGAACTTGGAAAGATCCTATCTTCAACTTCTGAAGCACAACACCATGTGACTTGCTGCTAGGTGATCCTCCATGACACCAATTCTGGGATTGCTCAAACTCAATCCCAAGTCGCTTTGAGGCCAGGGCATGTTGGAATTGTTGACGTTCAAAAAGCCTGCAACGACATCTCGTAGTGATGCACCTGTCAGGAATAGCGACGTTGTGATGAAAAGCTGCTGTCTAAGTGTGTAAACTTCTTGGCCCTTGATGCCAATTGATGCCCAAACAAATCTCAACGAACCAAAATTGCAAGGCATGACATAGAACATAAATCAACATCACATCCTTTGAATTTCTGGCACATGTTCCGGCCAAAGGTGGCGTTTGAAGAATCCACACAGCACTCCAAAACTTCAAAAACGATGGCCATCGTGGCAACTCTCAGGCTGCGCCATCGTCATCATCGTCGTCATCCTCATCATCAAAGAGAGATGGGTCCTGACCGATGGAGCTACTGTGCGCCCACTAAAAATTTCACCTGGGGGATGCCAAACCTTTGGGCCTTTGGGTTACTTGGGGTGCAAGTCATGGAAAACATTGGAAAACCACGGCAGGTCATTCCAATCTTTGGGTTTGTCCATGGAAGTGCGACAGTGACGACACAGGTTTGCACATTCCAGGTGTGAGTGCTGTCTGCTCGAACTATGTCCGTGTAAAAAAGCAATCCTGACCTACAACTGATGTTCACAACTTACTTCAGTCCAGAAGGCTGGAGTAGCACAATCATTACTTGACCTATTATAGCACCCCGATAAAGAACTAGATTCATATCAAAATAGTCGCAAATCATGTTTATCTTTTTGGGGGTTGCTACAGGCAGGCAGCCGTCTTTGTAAACATGTTCGCACCACACATTGAATAGCTCCCCAAAAATATCTTGCTTTTTTTGATGCACAAAAGGTATGCATCCACCACTCTCGAGTGGAGCCCTGTCCTCCAATCCAATGGGAGCTTGAAAGAATTGCTCCTGCACCTGTTGCGACCCGCGGCCCCTGTAGCCGAGACTGGCCTCCCGGCAAGTCGTCCGCCGCAGGTTGGAAGCTTTTGGGTTCAACCGGCTTGATGATTTTTGATCATATATTTGACAACATTTGACAACAGGTGATATGTGATGATATGTGATGATATGTGATGATATTTGATGATATTTGATGATATTTGGCTTGGGTATGCTGTTCTTTGGGAGAGCTCAAGTTTGGAGAAGAAACCAGAATCTATCCCATAAGCTCGACCCTGCTGCACAATGTCTTCCCAAGGTGTCCATCTCATCTTCCAAAGTTGGCAGTGTGTCAAAACCCATGGAATCCCCTGTAGTTCACATCAAAATAGCTGGGATTTATGGATGTTCATCCCATTAAAAATGGTATTAATAGGTATTGATCCATACCCATATCTTCCCCCATGTCCTTTTTGCACCACTGTACACCGATGCGAGGTGAAACTGACTGTTTGCAATGCCTCAGAAGGTTAGGAGGATGGATTCCAATGGCTTGCCCTGCTGCAAACTCCATCGCACTAAGCCGCGGAAGAGAGATAGCAGCTCCTGGCTGACACCAGGGATGGTGAACAAAAAGGAACAAGAATCTTTACACAGTGGTTGCTTTAAATTACTGCGAATCATTCAAAGGCCCCCTGGCCCTATTCAAAGGGATGCTATTCAGCTTTGCAAAGGTCAGAGGCAATTTGGCTACGAACAAGCAACAAAATGCATTGAGGTAGCCCGAAATGGAAAATATTGGTCATATTTTAATTTAAAATTTAAAAAAATAAAAACAAATAGAAAAAAAGAACAAAATAAAAAAACATATTTTTTCATAATTTTTTTTTGGCCGATTTTTTGCTTCCAATACTACTTTAGAAGGGGGCAGGGCACCCTTCTGCGCAACGACCTTGTCCCACACCTCACAACGAAGAAACAATATTTTTTTCATAGGAAAAAATATATTTTCATAGGAAAAAATATTTTTTCATAGGAAAAAATATTTTTTCATAGAAAAAATTGGGCCCAATTCCATCGATTTTAAAATATCATAAAACAAGATAAATTAAGATAAGTTAGCAAAAAGGACTCTGATTAGCACCCCTTTGAATAGAGCCCCAGAGATGGAGAAAGAGCGAACATGCCAAAATCTACCGGAACTTCACTTGCACGACCCACATTGTCACTTCTTTATATCTAAGAATCTATACTATCTACCGTTCAAAACTCTTCAGTAAATATGTATATATATATATATGACTATATAATATGAAGGTCCAATACATATATATGCCCTCTCCAAATTCTCAGCCCCACCATACCTCACCATTTTCCACCTTTCCGGCCTCCCATTCTCCCCGATTGGCCATCTGCAGGATCTTCTTCGCTGTGGGCGTCTGGGAGCGCATCGCCCAAGCAAGCAAGCGACCCAGGATTAAGCCTCGGCGCATGGATGGAAGGCTACACTGTTAGCCTGTTAGGTCCTGTTAGGTATTGTTAACTTTCTCAAGCAACATTGAAGACAAACAACACATGTAGCCAAAACTTTGAGTACTGTCATTACCACCACCAAAAAAAAACACAATGATTTTAAACATTTTAGAAACCATAAATAATCTATATTCGAATTGCTATGTCAAGGTTCATTCTCAGCCAACTCTCCAAGACATTTGTAGGGCCAAAAAAGTACCAATTTAACTGCGGCGCCTCACAGGCGCCATAGGACACAATGGAACACGCGTTTTTTTTTTCCTTTCCCTCTTTGTAGAAATTTTGGTTTGAAACATCTCGATGACCTACCAAAGATAGGGTAGATATCCTGCCAAAAAATGTCAGTCCGTTTGATCAGCTGTGAGCTCGTTAGGTTTCTTGTTTTCCATGAAAACGGGAAAAAAACATCAACATGAACGGCATAAACAAGAAAATTGGTACTGGGATCATCGTACTTGAACCCACCCGCCAGAGTCTTCCTATTCTACACCTGTGACATTGCTATTCTACGCCTGGAACATGGATGCCTTTGGATTGACCTTCCTGTTAACATGCATTTTCTTTTCCTCAGTGAGGTCCAAATCAATCATATTCATATATATATTCATATGTGATTACTTACCTGATCACACCACATCATAAAACATCATAACACCCTCAGGTGATGCCAGACTTGCAAAGTCCCTCCGAACTTCCAGTCCAGAAGCGATCAATGTCTTCCATCAGACTTGGCAATTGCCAGGTACCTCTGCTCCAAACAGGAGCAGCCAGGTCGCTTGAGGGGAAGGGGGCCAAATTTCATTGGCAAATGACGTGCAAGAACAAACTGTAAAACATTTCTCTTGAGGATTTCGGTGGATGATATTGATGACATTGGTTGGGTCTTGAATGTTTTGTTGTAACAGGGCCTGTTGATTACTGTTGAAGGCCCCGCAACCCAGCCCCAAAGTATTGCTTTGAGTGGCGGAAACAAGTCAAATGAATCCTTTCCAAAGTCACCCGCGCATGCCCGCGCTGTGAAACAAAACAACCTGGATATACCTGGGTCATCAATGACAATGTTGTTATATTACCAACATACCCTCAGGTAATTTAAGAATTTGCTATGGAAGCCATGACCCATTTGTTTTTATCTTCTCTGCATTCAACATGCTTATAATATATATATATATACCTATTGATTACTGTATTATTATATAAATCATATCCTCATTGATAGTTGGTTTAATCTCAACTGTCAAATCCCCGAATTACCGGAGACCATTTTCATCACACATCCGGTGCCATCACCTCCCGCCATTTCCAGCCAGGTGGCTCAGGCCGGCGCAACGTGCAAACTCCGCCGCAGTTTGAATGACCTTGGCCCGTTGCAAAGTTGAGCAACAGTTGAGCTCCAACATTTTACGACACGTGGTGACATGTGGATTCACGTGATTCGCTTTGGAGGCCCATTGGCTTTGATTTGACTTTACACTTTTCCTTTGAAGGACCCATCATAAAACCCATATGATGCAAACATCACAATAAGAATCCAAACATATCTATAAACTAGATCTGTAAAATGTAAAACAAACCAAAATATTAAGAAATCAGTTTGCAGTAAAAAAAACATAATGCGTCATTCCTCCAAGCCACCATGGCGCACACGTATTCCCGACGCCGCTGCTGTTTCCAGGTGGAATTCCAAGTGGTGTTTCCTTCGAGGCTGTAATGCTCCAGCTCGTTTGGATAGCCGGTGGCATACCACGAAGCATACTTTTGATAATTTTCTCCGCCTGGGAATGGGCGTTTTTCATTTGGGACATGCTGAGACATGAAAAACATTGGAACAATTGAGGAGTTCCTTTGGTCCCAGGATGTACATTTTCCTGACTGGATGATGGATGGAAGTGTATGAGACACCGGGATGCAGCGTGAAGACGTGCGGAATCAGAATTGGGATGCAAAATGATGCAAAGAAACATAAGAAACGAGGAACTGAGGGACTCACAATGACTCGCAATGACTCGCAATCACCAATTCATTGAATTCATTCCTAGACTTCCGGTTCTTGCAACAGTTCCTGTGCTGATCCGGGCCACCATCCAGCAAGCTGGCTGTGAAATTCACCATCTCCGCCATAGTGAGACCAGCAAAACTGAAACCATACTCACTGACCTCAGCAAACGCAGCAAACTAGTGGTCGAAAAAGAGCTATATAGATCAAGAAATATGTTGAAATTTGATGAGGCCAGGCCAGGCCTGGCTGCTATAAACAGGTATCCTACCACGTCGAATCCGAAAGGTGCTGCTGTGCCTTTGAAGACAGCAAGCATGCGCAAACCTATGCCGCAACCATCCGCAACCCGTTGGCATGTTATGCGGTTTGTGCAAGCCAGTCACGTGGTCATAGCCAAACCTCCACGTAGGTGCACCGCTTGGTTGCGATGATGAAAATGTATCTGAAATGAAGGTCTTGAGGTTCAGCAAGCGACCCGTCCGTCGGTCGTATTCCACCAGCCTCTGTAATGGACATGAGAGGCTTGGAAGGGAGTACCAGCTGCGCACTGGCAACTGGCTGGGCCATTGGAGTTCAATTTGAGGCTTAAATCATTTGGATTTTCCAGAGCTTGTCGCCCCGTTTCATATTTTCGAATCCCACAGAGTTTACAACCACAGCACCCTGTAACCACCAAACTCCAAGAAAAAAATCAAGTGTGGACCAAGTTCAAGCGAGGCTCTTGAATGATGGGTTGTTGTAGTAAACCGGGCTCAAGGACGACGACAAAAAAATGGGTCCCGCACCACGGGGGGCTTTCGGCAGAATTCGTATCTCGTCCTTGTGCACGTGGCCGAAGAGTTGTGCCGAGACGATGGATCCAAGCACTGGATCTTGAACGATCCTAGGTGAGGTTTGTGCCACGGAGTTTATGGTCATTAGAATGAACATATCGCAACCCCAGATAGAAATGTAGTATTTTAGTAGGAATGTACTTTTCTATCTGTATCGGGTGGTTACGAGATGTAGGAATGAGTCCCGACTATTTCTGGGTAGTAGCGGTGCTGGAGCCCTACTACTTGGACGGCAGTAGGAGTGAAAACTGAAACAAGTAGACTCAGTAGATCTATGATGAGTTTATTCTTGGATCCTTGGACCCTTGGACTTTGGTACATCAAATAAGATTCAAAGGCATGGAATGACAGAGAAAGTAGTTTAACAACACCTTCTTTGTCGTGCTCAATATCAAACAAATTAGGTATTAGGCCAGTAATTAGGCACCTTGGCAACCTTGGCAAAAAGGAAACTGTCCATTAGGTATACAGGGTCAAGTGAGCATTGCTCAAGCCCCGCAACGTTCTCCGTAAATACCGACTAAATCGGAGTCATACCCTGTTAGGTTAATCGCTCTTGATCGCCCCTGTGGTCAGGCTTCTTAACTGCTCTTAAGCACTCTTTATTGCTCTTCATGGTGATCAAGAGCGATTAACCTAACAGGGGTATGACACCGATTTAGTCGGTATTTGCGTAAGCACTAACCAATCACGGATTATCAAAAACTTATAGGTTGTTATGGATCTTGGATCATTAATCATTGTATATATATATATTATATTTATAAAATTATGTACTATATATCATATATTGTTATCATTAATTATTATTAACATTCTTATTATTATTCGTTCTTTTTCTTATATATATAATATCTCTCTCTCTCTTTCTTGTCAAATACTGTAAAATCATGTGAAATTACGTGATTTGTTCAACCCCAGAAGCACCTCCGGACGCCATCGGCGTCCGATCTGCGCTGAGATTCTCCAGGTATTGGGCCACATATTGGGGACGCCATAGCTCGGTATAGCCGAAGGTTTCAATCCCCGGCGAGATGTGGCCGACGATCCTGGGTGAAATCCAGGGTCAACGGATGGTTTTTTTTTCGGGAACAGGTCACTTGAAGGTCCTATGGAGGTACCCAGGTACCCCAAAAATGGATGGTTTACAAAGGACAAATCCTATTAAAATGGAATGAAATGGATGATGGCCAAGGGTACCCCACATTTTAGGAAACCTCCATTTTTGGAAACCTTCCATGGGAAAAAGGGAAAATCCATGGTTTCCTGCAGATTTTCCCCTGCCAATCCATTGAAATGTGGGAAATCCAATGGCATAGACCGACCATTCCTGGAGGATGGTTTTTGCCACTCGTACAAATGGTGATTTCTGGGATGGTTTATGGCATTGACTATTCTGGTTGGTGGTTTCAACCCTCTGAAAAAATATGAAAATCAGTTGAGATTATTCTTCCCAATATATGGGAAAATAAAAAATCTTCCAAACCACCAAGCAGTATTGATATGACTTTAAGAGTACCATGACCCCCCATTCAATCCAATGAATAGCAAAAGATATGTACGAAATCATATATACCCATCCAAAATTTCTCCAAATATATCAACCATGAATCCCATGACCCCTTGTTTTGTCAGGGCTTCGCGAAGGATTTGCCCTACCAACTGGCTTGCATCCTTGTGCAGCAAAGTATTGATCATGTCGAGTCACTGTGGAACACGTGAGAATTATGAATCAAAAGGATGAATAACTACTGAAATTTGTGAGACATTGTATCCCATGCCCCCTAATATTGGAGAAATGCCGTCTGGTAACAGCACCATTTTAAACAGTCAATGCCATAAACCATACCCAAAATCACAATTTTCGTGGGTGATATAAACCATCCACAAATGGAAGGTACTTAAATTGGATTTCCCATATTCTCCCCATTAAAACGCAATTAATTATGGCCATTTGAATCACCATTAAACCGCCATTAAATCACCATTAAACCACTATTAAACTGCCATTAAATCACCATTAAACCGCTATTAAACCGCCATTAAACAACTATTAAACCACCATTAAACCTCTATTAAATCTTATTAAATCACCATTAAACCACTATTAAATCCCATTAAATCACCATTAAACAACTATTAAACCACTATTAAATCCCATTAAATCACCATTAAACAACTATTAAACCACTATTAAACCACCATTAAACCACTATTAAATCCCATTAAATCAACATTAAACAACTATTAAACCACTATTAAACCACCATTAAACCACTATTAAATCCCATTAAATCACCATTAAACAACTATTAAACAACTATAAAACCACCATTAAACCACTATTAAACCACTATTAAACCACCATTAAACAACTATTAAACCACTATTAAACCACCATTAAACCACCATTAAACCACCATTAAATCACCATTAAACCACTATTAAACCGCCATTAAATGACCATTAAACCACTATTAAATCCCATTAAATCACCATTAAACAACTATTAAACCACCATTAAACCACTATTAAACCACCATTAAATCACCATTAAACAACTATGACACCACTATTAAACCACTATTAAACCATTATTAAACCACTATTAAACCACCATTAAACCACAGAACGAGGGAACCGCCGGAAATAAACCAGGAAACCACGAGGAAAGCACAGGAAGCCAACAAGGAAACCACTAGTAACACGAGGAAAACACCAGAAACCACGAGAAAGCGCAGGTAAAGCACCAGGAAACAACGAGGAAAACCACGAGGAAACCAAAAGGAAAAAAAGAGGAAAAGAAAAAGAAAGAAAAAGGAAAAAAAGAGGAAAGAAAACGGAAAGAAAAATGAAAAAAAAAGTAAAAAAAATAGGAAAAAACAGGAAAAAAAAAGGAAAGAAAAGGAAATGAAAAAAGGAAACAAAAGAGGGAAAAAATAGGAAAAAAACAAGGAAAAAAAGAGAAAAGAAAAGGAAAAAAAATTAAAACAAATAGTGAAATAAAATCACATTAAAACCATTAAACCACTATTAAATCACCCAATTAAAGCAAAATTAAACAACTATTAAACCACTATTAACCACCATTAAACCACTATTAAATCCCATTAAATCAACATTAAACAACTATTAATCCCATTAAATCCCATTAAACAAATTAAACAACTATTAAACCACATTAAACAATATTAAATCCCATTAAATCACCATTAAACAACTTTAAACACATTAAACCACCATTAAACAATATTAAATCCCATTAAATCACCATTAAATATTAAACCACTAAAACCACCATTAAACCACTATTAAACCATTAAATCCCATTAAACAACTATTAAACCACTATTAAAACCATTAAACTATTAAATCCATTAAATCACCATTAAACAACTATTTAACCCACCATTAAACCACTATTAAATCCCATTAAATGACCATTAAACAACTATTAAATCCCATTAAATCACCATTAAACAACCATTAAATCACCATTAAACCTCTATTAAATCTTATTAAATCACCATTAAACCACTATTAAATCCCATTAAATCACCATTAAACAACTATTAAACCACTATTAAATCCCATTAAATCACCATTAAACCAGTATTAAATCCCATTAAATCACCATTAAACCACTATTAAATCCCATTAAATCACCATTAAACAACTATTAAACAACTATAAAACCACCATTAAACCACTATTAAATCCCATTAAATCACCATTAAACAACTATTAAACCACTATTAAACCACCATTAAACTACTATTAAATCATTCCATTAATCCATCAACAGGACCTATTTTGGCGAGCCGCAGGACTCTGCGCTGCTCCAGAGCCGCCAGGCGCAGCCTCTTTCGGAGCCATTGGAACTGACCGAAGGGATCCTGGCCGCGGGGATCATGTGGAGCCAACCATGGGGAGCCCATGGGGATGGAGATTCAATGGATTGATGTGATCTGCAGAAAGGAGGGCTTTGAACAGAAAAACCATGAAAAACAGACTGATGATGACTGTAGGTTTTCTCTCTTAGACTGAGTTATGGTAGAATCACAGATTTTGCGCGAAGATTTAGTAGGAAACCATCCTATTGCTCCTATTCCTCTAAGATACCAGATTTTGACAAATTCCAATATTAAAGCTGAATGTACTGCAAGGACCTGACATGAGACATGAACTGCAGAGGTCATGAAGAGGGTGCTATACTCTGCCAATTTACTCACCAGGTCAAACTTCCGCACGCCAAAATAGGGCATGCATGTGGCATCATGTGGCCCGCCCCCACTGGCCCACAGTTCTAAGTTGGTGTGTAAACCCACCTGTAGATATTCATTTACACCTACACCCACCATAAACATCCATGAACCATGGTGAAATTACACTTAGATACAATAAACATCAATAAACTAAACCAAGTGAAATTACTTACTGTAGATACATATGATAAATATTAATAAGTCCTAAACCAACTGACCTATCTTACCTTTCGTTTCGGCCGGGGCCATCATGTCCTCCTCCAGGGGGCCAAAGGGCAAATGATCCACAGAGTAGATCACAGTGGCCAGGCTCAAAATGGTCACATTTCCTGGTCTCCGTTGCCGGTCCCGTGGTCCCGAAAATGCCAAGGGATGGCTCCAAAAAAGATTGGTTTTTGGAGAATGTGCACGGCCGCCAGGTTTTTTTTTAGGTGCTTTTGATTTGGTGAAACGCTATTTTGATGAACAACACCGGCTATAATCGGCCTCTGCGTTGACAAAATGACATTCTTCAAAGTAAATTTGCCTGAAATCGAATCAAATAAGGAAGCAAGTCTTGGAAAATTCTGGGCGTTGCCCCTCGTTGCCGCCTTCAGTGGTTTCGAAGTAGCTGCCGTGCTTGAACTGCTCCAGCACCTTCTGTTTCATACCTCGGCTCGGTTCAGATGAGACCTGTAGCTGAATTGAGAGACAGGTCTTAATTCGTCCATCGCAAAGGATCCCATTATAGAAAGAGAACCCCAACGCAATTGATGTTAATAAAGCAATAGTAAATCAACCCCAAATCTACCATGAATGGGTAACATATATGGTAATATAAACATGTATACACCGTCAAAATATTGGTGCTTTACTATTGCTTACTGTCATTTACATACATTTACTAACATGATATGGTTACTTCCGGTTCAAAAATCGCTTGAAAGACCGAAGATCCACCAAGCAGTTCTAGGTGTTGCGGCTTTGCTGTTTGTGGGTCCCCAGTTCCTCCTGGTATCCCAGGCCTCCAGCCCCGTGGATCGGACCGCCAAGCTTTTCGAACCAGGGATTTGAAGACTCATTGCCTTAGGTTTGCCGAACAGGTGCCCCCAAGAAGGTACAAGCACCCCTACCAAAATCTACGGGTTTATAAAAAAGGTGTTTATATAGGCCTTATAAACCCCTACTAAGAGTTGATGCTGGTTGTTCATGGTCACTAACCCCTTAAAACAAGGCTTTATTTGGTGGGAGGGTTGCCTTTAGGGGGGGTGCCCATCGAAATCCATCAGCTTTGGCAGCCAGTAGCGTTCTTGCGCTGTGGTGGTTAAATCACAGTGGCTAGGATTCCGAGAAAATACTTCAAGAACTATTCAAGCACATTGAATCTAAAGAAAAACTGTGGCTAAGGCCTGGAAAATCCAAGACAATCCTAAGTTCAGCGCATCCCAAGTGGCTTGTGACCTCCTGGTAGTAATCCTGCTTGGCATCAGAGTTCCCCAAGGTTCCAAAAACCAAGGGGGTCTCTGGAAAGAAACTCTTGGCCGAGAGTGACACTTGCTTAACAATCTGCGATGCCTCAATTGCGGCTGCAGGGCAAGAGCACCAAAATTACTGAGTGAACTGCGAATAAATAAAGAACACTAATATGTGAAGCCGAAGGAATGCGCACATGGCACTCAAATTAGCTATCAGCTAACATCATTGGACTCCCCATTGGCATGTTCCGCGGCTGCGGTCCTGAAGCTAATCCACACTGACAGTACGTTACCTGTCAACCAACAGGTGGATACCCTGCTGGCCACGCTGCATTCTCTGCCGGCTCGGGCATCTCACGTATGGAGTGTCGCACGAAGTCGCCGGTGTAGAGAGCAAATGCTGCATGCCCAGCCTCCCCAGATTGCAGGGTAGGTAGTTGTCAAATTTTAAGATCCCCGGATGATCCATACCCATGTGGATTGATTCGAACGTGTGACAGTCGTCATTTTGGGATGGTTGCCTAGAGACCACAATTACAGTGAGATCATTGTAAGGTACCCATATGTGTATATATATATATACATATGATATGTATATATATATATATCACTACATTAATTGCTGATGTAATTACCATGATTACATAATAAAATCTGGATCCTTTAGCCGAAATCGTGGCATAAAACCGACAGACTTAGCGCGATTTTATCATTCATTTGGAGATGACATCGCCAAAAAGCGTCGCCTCTGCCGCGCGCAGCCGGGACTCGGCCAGCGCCGAGTGCAACAGCTTTGGAGGAGGATCGCAGGACATGATGCCGAAGGGGTTCTGCTCCAGGAGAGTGAGGTTCTCCTTGCACTGTCGATGCTCCTGAGAATGGCATGGTGAACTCTCCAAATGTGTTTGGCAAAGGGACCTGAAAATGTGGGTCTAGATAACTCAGGCCAAAAAAAAGAGGGTTAGTTGGATGTACCGATGATGAGTTTGTGATAGTTTCTTGATGGACTCCGCACCAGTTGCAAAGTAGAACACATGAAACATCTGTTCATATATTATATATATATATGTGTGTGTGTGTATACATACAACAACTACACTACACCCAGGATTAAGATTAATTAACTGGGCTTACAACCCAGGTATGATCCCCCCATTTTTAGACACACTTCAAATGAAACAAAACACGTTGTCAAACTTGCGCGTGAAGTTTGACAAATGGCCCGAAACTCATCCAGGCACAGATTGGTAGAAGGGATCCACATGAGCATCTGCGTGCCAAAGGAAGAAGCCCACTGAGCTACCGAAGCCGGCAGTGGATGGTTCCTGCAGCACGAGGCTCAGGTCCATCTGTAGGAACCCCGGGCTCCCTTCATCCGGGCGAATCTCTGCCGCGCACGAAAGGATCAAGGCGCACAGGCAGCGTCCAACGTGGTGGACATGGTGTGCCATGCTGAACAGGAAGCTGTCCGAGGTGGCAAAATCAAAAGTTGACTTGTGAAGAGGCTAGACTAGACTTCTTGGTGCTTTTCCAATGCTTTTCCAGTCATACTCTTGATAACTGTGCATATAAATGACCTTTATCTGTACAGTGTAGACACTACATGACTCTACTACCACAATAGTGGCTGAAGGTCCAACACTTTCCATGCTGCACGATGCAGATCTTTTGTTTCTGCTTTTTTCCTTTAGGCTACATATGCCTTGACACGGAACGAGGTGAGTGGGATAACCGGCTGGTCAGAAACCGTGAGTCAGTTTGAAGTAGAGTGGTTCTAGGGTGCAAAGATCGGCTTTATCATGTTGAAGTAGCACTTGACATTGACGATGTCTATAAAGTCAGAGACTAATTTCACTTGTCAGGACCTTGTTGGATCTTCATTTTTTAAACTCATTAGAAAACCATATTTTACAGTCAAATCCACCCTTTTTTTTCTCTTTTAGTGGCTTCAATCCCTGTTCCACTGGGTTTCATTCCATTTCATTCCCAACATTTCCCAACGGCGAATCGACCTCCATGGTCGAAACACGCCACGCGCCGGGAAGACGAAAAAGCGTCTGTTTCTGCGATCCTGTGACTGCTGTGATCTGCTGTGTACGCCTGTCGGCTACGCGGCTAAACAATGCCAAGTAAATTTGGAATATGATGTCCCAAATTGGAAGTTGAACCGCATGTGTCTGATCTTGATTCTGTTGCATCGTTTGAACCGAAATTGCCAGACCAGCAAGACCCAAGAGCGTGGAACACCTTGTTCCCAAACACGGGCAGCAAATATTCCCTATTTCAGGGCTCTGATATGTACCGGGGTCAACATATGTCAATGCCCGGATTTCAATCCGATCAGAGTTTGTTGATTCAAAAGACGCGCGTGGGAGTATGACCCACTTTTGACCACATGGAAGTATATCATGGGGACCATGGGCTGCTTGAAATATATGCACAGCTACTGAGCTAAAGTACCTGCTTATAGTCTCTTTTCAAAAATGGGGTGAAATGAAATGATTTTTAGACGCATATGTTTCTTTGCAGGAACGATGTTTTCTCAACACCTCCTGTTTGACATTGAATGTATCCTTGACACCGGGTGCCAGGATGGAGAACTGACCTAGAACAATGAAGATAGATTGAACGTTGACCTCAAATCAACAACAAAATACATTACACTTACATCATGACACGTATACGTATAAGTAAACGGATGTGAGCATTCATAGAATGTTTCGTAAATTGATATAAATCGGCCAATGTGAAATAAAAGCCACTTCTGTTGGCCCCTTCTTGCCGCGGGATGCACGTGGTTTCCGATGCGTGGAGATTGCCCAGCAGTCTCCGCAATCTGGCTTGCAGAAAAGTGATGAAACCAACTCCAATGTATGTTCATAAGATCATAAGTCAACATTTGCGGCTAGTGAAATACCGCAAGATACGTGTATATTCTAACAACTGGTGACCCCAAAGCCGTACAAGACCGGTTGATCATCTTTTTCCCATTCAGGATGCCTATATTGGAGTCATAGCGAGCATGCCCTCCTCATGGCAAGAACCCACCCTGAGTTTATATGTTTCTACACACTATACGTGTGCATCCTCGTGTCTGTACTCTAGGCATTGCATGGGTATATAAATCATGATAAATCTACACTTCTTTATGTACATTTACACGCACACACACATATATATATATTATATGTATACAATGTGTGTATATGTAATATACAAATATATTTATTTATTTATACATTGTATATTAAGATTATTTAAGATATGCAGTATATTTTAAATTATCTTGATATAAAATAAATGATATACATCTATGAACGACAGTATTTCACCGGGCCTGACACATCAGTGGCAAGCGCAGCTGGAACATCTGATCGGCACAGCCGCAGTCTGAGCTGATCTTTTTTCAGCGTCAGCATCCAGCTGCAAGGCACTAAGGTGGCGTCAAACGGCGGCGAAGGTCGAAAAGTGGCAGGCATGGTTATGATCATCACATATTCAGTTGATATTGTTATAGATAGTATATACTTATATATGTATATATAAATAACTATATCCAGTTGATTAACTTGGACTTGAACTTGGACTGGTATCTTTAAACTTCTAGCTAAACAAAAAAAACACATGCACATTGGAAAGGAATCACAATTCCGTGGTGCAAAATCTGGAATACGAGACAGGAACCCATGATTTTCGGTGGTTGATACTTTTTAAACACATCCAGCCGGGAAAAAACTATGAAACATCGATGAGTTATTACCGGTGGATGCTTCGACCAGCCGGGCTCACTACGGCTTCATGTCATCATCCTCATCTTCGGGAGGCAGCACAACCTGCGTCAGCTTCGCAGTCGTAACCAGGGACTGCCAAATCAGCCCATCTAATTGCGCTAGTTTGATGCCATGTTTTTAAGGAAACGCAAATTGTGCATCAATCTTCAATCCATAAATAACTGCATTTATTTATAGTGTCCTTTCATCACTAACATCAAGTATGTAAGCATAATATATGCTAACAGTCTCAGCGTAATTTTGAGTACCGATTTCCCCAAAACGAAACATCGAACCGTTGAACCACGCAAATCCCAGCCGCCCAGCCGCCCCAGCCTTGGACAAGGTGGTCTTCAATTGCAGCAAGCTATGCCTGTGGCGCCATAATCGCTCGTAGCCATAGGGAATACCCAATAATTCTGTCGGTAGGCACAAAGATAATCAAGTCATTTGATTGATACTTGGATGATAAACATTGCATTTTTTGAAGCTTTGGTGGGTTGTTAGCGAGATCCCAGAATCTATGACGAGCTTCTGCTTTGCTTTCTTAGGCGGCGCGCCACTCTTCCTGAAGTGGATGCAAGAATCATCAGGGGCCACCACATGGCCACCACATGGTCACCACATGGCCACCACATGGCCACCACAATGCATAATGTTTGTTTAATGATTTTGTTGCATATCGTGGGAACACCTTCCATCATGGGGATATGATGCGAGACAACAAACAAACAAACAAACAAACAAACAAACAAACAAACCAAACAAAACAAAACAAACAAACAAACAAACACACAAACAAACAAACAAACAAACCAACCAACCAAACCAAACCAAACCAAACAAAACAAAACCAAACCAAACCAAACCAAACAAACAAACAAACCAACCAACCAAACAAACAATAACAAACAAACAATAACAAACAAACAAAAAAACAAACAAACCAAACCAAACCAAACCAAACAAACCAACCAACCAACCAACCAACCAAACAAACAATAACAAACAAACAAATAAACAAACAATAACAAACAAACAAATAAACAAACAATAACAAACAAACAAATAAACAAACAATAACAAACAAACAAATAAAATAAACAAACAATAACAAACAACAACAAACAAACAAATGTGAATCCGGTTTGCCCAAAACCATTTTTGATTGATCTAAAAATTGTGACCGACAAGACCGAGAATAGTAGGACTAGTAGGACATTCATGACCAAACTTGGGATTTAGGGCACAATATGGTGCACTATGATCAAACAAACCGACCTCAGTATGCCCTGAACTTAGAGATCCAAACTGCCCAATGACAATGACGGTAACCAAGGCACTGTACCGGCGGGGGGCCTCGGTCAGAGCAGGTGACAATGCTCGCGTGAACAGTGCACAACAGGTACAACTTTACTGTAACCAACCGGGGATACCGGTAATTGTTACAGTTTGGCTATGTGAAATTACATGAAATTACCAGAACCAGAGGTCTTCCACACAACAGGCCTTTGACTTGATTTCAGAACTTGCACGCAGCCCAGTGTCTCACTCGCTTGCAAACATTTACATACAGGAAACCATGGCTTTTACCATTCGACCATCCCTATGGAACAGCCAGTGGCTTCCATATCTTTCATCCACCCGCGGACACCATGCGTATCATACGTTGAGGTCTGCACACTCCGAGTCCTTGCACTGATCCTTGCTGAAAGCCGCCTCCAATCCAGCAAAATTTGACAAACCACTGCATAGGGGATCCATAATTCCATAACTATGCTCAAGTTGTGGTTTACTAGTGGGATCTGGTGGGCAAACCCAATAGAAGATGGGATGATGATTTTCTTCAGGCCCCCAAATGGTTGATAAAAAAGGGCGGGGAATTTGTGGCATTCTGGACCCCACATTAATCCATACACAGTAGATCTCAGAATCTTTTTTACCTGAAATTTGCCCCATATGGTACACTAAAGAGGACAAAGCCAGTACTAAATAATAGTTTCGATTGAGCATCGTTGAATATTATGAGGGAATGGATCAAGATAGCTCAGTCTTGAAGTTGTCTCGTTAAATTGATGGACCTTGGTGTTTGAATAAACCTATCTAAACCTATCTAAACCTATCAAAGTCATTTAAATCAACATCGATTCGCATCAAGGTCAACATATCAATGCCACATCAAAATACCTCCAGGGCTCACCTGGACGGCCACAACAGAGAGCACGGCGACCCTGGGGCGTCGCATGGCGTCGCACAAGCCCGGCCCAACGACGAGAGATGCGTCCGTTGTTCGGATCAGATGTGCACAGCGTCGACTAAAATCATGCATATGTAAGAAAAATCTGTGTGTCTGTCAAATACGATCAAATATCATATGTTCATACTCTCTCCCTCTCTCTCATCATTATATATATATACTAACACCTAGTACATAGCTTCTATTTAAAGATCTCGAAGCATCACCACTCAGCTCCCTGGCACTGCCAAAGTCCACCGCATTTTTCGGCGAGGTCAAACACCTAAGGCAGGCATAGCCAAAGAATTCACATGGAAAATATGAAGCGAAACCACGTATGAAAGCAGCATTTTGCAACTAGAGAATCCATGGAGTGATGGTGCAGCTCCAATGATCCGGTGCATCTAGCAGAACCCCTGAGGCCAAGGGCGAAAGAACGTTCGGAACGTGGTCCTGGCATTTCGCTTTATCCCACGTCATGCCAACAGTTTGGTCCAGCGAAAGGCAAAGTTCATATATCTTTTCCAATGTGCTCTCAGTAAAGAACATATCTATACATATCTTACCAACTTGAATCACATATGTCTGCTCATGTTTTTTCATACTATTACTATTACGCCCGCAGTTCTTCAAAGTCTCACAAAGGTCCAAATCATTCTAGATCACGAAATATCATTATCAATCCTAAAGCAGTCTAAAACCACCAGTCATCTGCGAATCTCCGAATTATCTATTAGCACTGGTCGGGATTCTCATCCCGGACTCATCCCAAATGGTATGGAAAACAAAGAAATATTCAAACAATTTCCAAACCACCTGTAACCAATAAAAGCAACTCTCATATGGCTGCGAAACTCTTAGTAGCTCCTTCCCTTCCAACCAACAGAAAAATACCCTAGGGTAAAGGTAAATACTCTAGGGTAACTGTTCATATGTATGTGAAATATTGTGAAATAGCCATGGGGGGAACCCAGAAACATGACATAAGCATACAAACATTTAACAACCTTGGGAATTCATGGCGTTACCCTTCAAAATGATCTACAAATAGCGGATTTTCCACATCTGTGTGGGGGGGTTCTTTCAATGGGCCATCCCCAAGTTCCACCTCGAAGCCCACGGCCCAAAAATGCGGCTGGTTCCAGTCGATGGGGTCGACGACTTGGGCCAGGGTCCGCTACAACCGCGCGTCGCGTATGAAGAATGGCATGGGTTTGGGTGTTTGACCCAATAAATGGCCATGAACGGCCATAAATGGTCATACAATGGACATAAAACTTGGGTACGTCATGGTATATATCCATATTCCATCCATTCTTGGATAAACATAGTGTGGTAAACTTAAGAAACACTAGCCTGACTCTAGGTGCACAAAATAAACCTCCAATTGAGAATGATAGAACTACCACTCACACATACTACCACACATTTCTCGGAAACCTGGAGGTGGTTCCTGGGGAGCAAATCCAAATCGGAGAAATTGCGCAATCTGCACGGCTTTGCTGTGCTTACATGCGTCTACCCGGGTGCATGCATCGCAATCTGCAGGCGTCAAAAACTCCGACTAATTCCATCCCCGTGATCTTAAACACACACTAAATTTATTTGTCCCAACATGTCCCAACATGTGTAAATCCCCTTAATAAACCATACTAAACCATGGTTTCTAGGGGGAAATTGAATGTTAGGGGGAAACAATATGCCTATGCATCCATCATCATCCATCCTGCTATGCTGGAAAGAAAGGTAGGATACTTGCCACCAGCTCTGCCCCAATCAGTTCTCAAATTTTGAAGATTGGAAATGCAAATGACACCGATGGATGTGAGAAAGGTTTCCAGTCAAAAGTAGCAAAAACGTGGTGCTGTGATATATCATCCATATTAATCCTCCTAGGATTTGCTTTTGATGACTCAAACCTACAGGCTCTGTTCAGAGTACTCTGCACGTGCCAGAGCTGAGTATTGCAGAGTTCATTTGTCCAGCGCACTTGTTTTGCCCGAAGTTGCTGGTTGATCATTATCAGTCATTACCCTCTGGTAATTTAACATAGCTATGGAAAATGGCCCATTTACAAATGATTTTTCCATAAAAACCTCCATTTAAAATGGATTTTCCATAACTATGTTAAATTACCAGAGGGTACCTTTAAACCTGCCCATCCACTGATGCTACAGGACCGGCGCCGACAGAAACATCAACCCCTGTTGGACCAGCCAGGGTTTCATCCAACGGCCGGGCCGGAGCTTATTGGACCAGCTGCCAAGATCCGATGGGGAGAGTCACGATTGAAACAACGCGAAAAATGATGTCAGTGAGATAGGGTGAGATAGGTCAGGAAACATGTTGATACATCAAAATTGTGTTTGTTCTTTGCATTTGCGATAGGTCTTGCTTTTCTAAGTTTGGTGGGTTTCAAGGAAAACTGGAAGACATCCACTACATATATATCCTCATCCCTATCCATGACTACACCCCGATGTTTGGCTGATGTCACTGGTGTGTAAACTCACTTGATCCAATCCCAAATCCCCCAATATATATAATATAATATAATACAATAAAATATAACAAAATTATGATATATTATAAGATATAATAAAACACAATTTAATATAATATAAAATAATACAAAATCATATCATTTAAGATAATATAATACAATATAATAAAATGTAATTTTGAATATTACAATAGAAACAATAAAATATAATATAATATCATAATTTAATATAATAACATAACATAATATAATATCATATAATCAAATATATTATATTAAAGCAAAATAGAATAAAATATAATGAAATAAATTATAACATAACATAAATTTATATATATATATATTATAATATATTATTTTACATTGCATTATGGTATAGAAAAATCATATCATATCATTTTAAATATGGGCTCTTAGCATTAATCATCATTATATCATTAATTATAATTAACTATCATTAGTTATTGTTAAGTCATATTGTATGTTACAATATATCATTATATATCCACTTCAATCATGTCCCCCATTGATATTCCAACTCTTCCTGGCCACCTCCCGAAACCTGAATTCAGCCGGCCCATTGGGACATGTGATGATGGCCCCGCTATGTAGGCAACATCAAGCAACCAAGATGGCAATAATTTTCAATAGAACCATCAAGAACCATACATCTCATGCCATTTATTCAAAAATTATCCCGGCAAGAGACCCCAAACAGTGTGGGGGGAGTAGGAAGAGAATGTATTATAATATATTATAATGTTGTTGTTGATGATGATGATGATGATGACGACGATGGGGATGGGGATGAGGATGAGGATGCGGATGAGAGCCTGCGCAATCGAAATGTACACGGACATTTCACAAGAGCCATGTTGCATGGAAATCTACAGGAAAAGTGCCGGACGCCAAGCCGGCGACACTCGTTTTGTGCGAGCCTGCGCGGTCGAAATGCACATGGAAAATTCACACGAGCCATTCTGTATGGAAATTCACAGGGAACATGCCGGACGCTAATCCCGCGGCCAACATTTAGCGCGAGCCTGCGCAGTCGAAATGCACATGACATGGACATGTCAAAGGAGGCAATTGGTGCGGAAATTTACAGGGAAAATGCCGGACGCTTCCGATAGATACCACCTCGATCGAACACTGGCCCTTATAGTTACCGTAAGATCCCCAAAAGTGTGGCCACACTTTTTAGAGAAAAAAATGCTTTACTTCGAGTTATCCCCACCATGACATCTATACGTTTTGTTACTGGCAAATCTTCTGGCATTCTATCTGACATATCTTCTGGCATTTTATCTCGCATATCTTCTGGCATTCTATATGGCATATCTTCTGGCATTCTACCTGGCATATCTTCTGCAATATGGCATATCTTCTGGCACTCTATCTGGCATATCTTCTTGCATATCTTCTGACATTCTATCTGGCATTCTATCTGGCAAATCTTCTGGCGTTCTATCTGGCAAACATTCTGGCACTTTATCTGGCATACCTTCTGGCATTCTATCTGACATTCTATCCGGCATACCTTCTGGCATTCTATCTGGCATATCTTCTGGCATTCTATCTGGCCGTTGGGGTTCAGCGGTGCGCACTGAGCTGGGAAGGTCCCAGGTTGAGGTCCAGCTGTGCGCACTGAGCTCGGAAGGTCCCAGGTTGAGGTCCAGCGGTGCACACTGAGCTGGGAAGGTCCCAGGTTGAGGTCCAGCGGTGCGCACTGAGCGCGGAAGGTCCCAGGTTGAGGTCCAGCAGTGCGCACTGAGCTGGGAAGGTCCCAGGTTGAGGTCCAGCTGTGCGCACTGAGCTCGGAAGGTCCCAGGTTGAGGTCCAGCGGTGCACACTGAGCTGGGAAGGTCCCAGGTTGAGGTCCAGCGGTGCGCACTGAGCGCGGAAGGTCCCAGGTTGAGGTCCAGCAGTGCGCACTGAGCTGGGAAGGTCCCAGGTTGAGGTCCAGCAGTGCGCACTGAGCTTGGAAGTTGGCGAAGAGCTTGGCGAAGAGTTGGCAAGGTGGAAGTGGAGGTGGAAGTTGATGCAGACATGGTCGAGGAGAAACTGGAGGAGGAGGCGGAGGAGGAGGAGAAGGAGAAGGACAACAGCTGTGATAAAATCTAACAACCCTCACCTGGCAGGTGGGGAATGATCAACATTCCGATTTCTGGACATTTCTGCATATTTCTAGACTTCAACCTGTTTTGGGGATAGGTTGGTCATGCCCAATGGTCCCCCTGTAAGTCGCCACACCAGGACTCTACGAAGATCAGGTCATGACCGTGACCCCAGGGCGCAGCCGCATCTCAGGAGGAGTCAGTCGGAAGTATCTTGCTTCCTCCTGGTGGCCAGTCGTGTGGGGCCTGGGAAATGCAGATTTGACCCAGTAAAACTAGCTTCAACCAGCCAAACAAAAATGGGAGTTCATATTTTTGTTCACCAATCTCTATAATGTCGTGTGCCTTGCAGGTATCTACGAGTACATGCATGAGCAGCGATTGCCTTTCAAGCTAGTTGCCAGCGTGGTTTCCAATGGGATCTCGATCTGCGTATTTGAGTGGGCTATAGTGGACTCAAAACCACAATTAAGCAGCGACCATAGCACAACTTTGTTTCGGGGTCTAAAATGCATTTGAAAGGTGCTCAGCTTGATTACTCAAAAGGGATGGGTTATACAATTATACATGGTACTATGCCATCCATCCATATTTGCAAATCTAAACTGGCAAATCAATTCAAAACCACATCGTCCAGATGATTTGAGGGGAAATTATGTAATCAATGGGGAACACCATTTGTTTCCCAAAGGATGTTCCGCAATTTTTCTCTCTGACCAATCAATGAATTCATGATCGGCATCAACAGTGTCCTCAGGGTGTTCGGCGTAAGGACTCGCAAAAAGGCTCTGCAGCCTCTCTGACACTTGGAAGTTTCCGGCTTCTGCTGCCTCATAGGCCTCTGACAGTGACGTAATTAAGGCGGCCCCCATAGGTTTCTAGTACAACGACGATGGCGCTAATCATGGGCAATGGATGGATGATATGAATCACCTGGAGAATGACTACGTGTATGTTGTGTTCTGATGTCTAATGACCCTACATGCTTGACATGTGCGTATGGCAGCACACATCCGACAGATCATTGACGCCTTTGGCCAACAACATCGTCAAACGGGGATGGCCTCCAATAGCATCCAATTCCGTGGGACGTACTTCGGATTCCTTGGCATCTATCCTATCCAGTTGCAAGTAGATCCAGCTGCGATCAGGTGAAAAACTGCTCGAATTGCCACTTGTTGCAATCTGGTCAAAGTGTCCAACACCATCCTCCTAACCACCAAAGTTAACTGGATATGCGTGATTATGCGTGTTTATGCACGGCTTCCCACCGGTTATGGCAAATCGATGCAAATCTGAGATATCTGAGGCAAAAAAACAATGTAATGGTTAAGTGGGTATGTCTGGACGTCATATAATCATATTATCCATGAGGTGACACAATGATCCACAATGTACCCAAATACAATAACAATCAATAACACATGTACAGTCGTGGTTCAATCTTTGCAATTGTCGCAATGGCACCCGAACATGATACCCTTAAACATCCCCCATGTATAGCCCGCTAGATGCTTTGCGGCCGACTTTATAGAGAATAGCCTGGTATAAACTGGAATGGCCACATGTCTGGAGTCTATAAAGTGGAAAGCCAACATGTTTTGTCTATAAAGTCAAAATCCAACGTTTGTATAAAGTCGCCTGGCCGCGTAAACACATAAAACTCGATGCAGGTTTTTGAGGGTACTTGTGAACATGTCCCATGACTATAAAGTGAGATGCCGAACATCCAGATAGTAATACTTGTGCAGAACAGTGGCACTATAATGTGGATTTCCGGCTAAACAACGATCGTTGTAGTAGCGATGATTTTCTTAATCGCGACGATGGCAGCATCGACATGATTGTCTATAAAGTTGAGGGGCCACGTTCAAACCTTGGGGGAATATCATCGATCTCATCGGTGGGGAACCCAAAAGACTTCGAATGACTTCGAAACCGAACAAAACCGACAGCCAGACAAATATCTATATCGAAGTCGTTAACAGAATCTATGGTAAAACAAAATCTATGTTGGACTGGCCACTTTATACCCCCTCCCCCAACAGAGAATGCCTCTAACACACTTTCCTTTGAAAGGGGTCCCTTGGGGTGAAAGGGGTCCTGGTCGCGCCGCGCGGCTCCAATTTTGACACCTTTTTGGCGCGCGCGCGCGCGGCGCGCCCAGGACCCCATTCACCCTCAGGAATTTTTCAAGGGAAATCTTCTTCTCTATAAAGTGGCCAGTCCAGGTAAAAGCCCTGAAAAAACACATTTTTACCTGGAATGGCCACTTTATACCCCCTCCCCCAACAGAGAATGCCTCTATAAAGTGGCCAGTCCAGGTAAAACCCCTGAAAAAAACACATTTTTACTTGGAATGGCCACTTTATACCCCCTCCCCCAACAGAGAATGCCTCTATAAAGTGGCCAGTCCAGGTAAAACCCCTGAAAAAACACATTTTTACTTGGAATGGCCACTTTATACCCCCTCCCCCAACAGAGAATGCCTCTATAAAGTGGCCAGTCCAGGTAAAACCCCTGAAAAAAACACATTTTTACCTGGAATGGCCACTTTATACCCCAGCCAGTGGGCTCCAGGACTTTGACCCGGAAACGGAAGGGCTGACAACAAGGTAAAGGGGGAAAACTACAACGGAGAGGTACAACGGGAAGGCTACCACAAGAAAATGAGACATGTCACGTTTATATATGTTTATTGTTTTCAATGTGTCATATAGATTGGCGATGATTGGTATATTGAATATGTTGTAGATGTATTTTGGAACATATGTATACCTATGATTCACACATCAATATAAATATATATAAATCATAAACACATGCCAAACCAAAAACTTTTAGCTGAGTATTGTATTCCCAATCTGCTGGCAAATGTCCAGCCGATTCACCATGCGTGACCCAACAAGATTCAAACTATGGATTGTTTACTTTCGAAAATATTTTTTTTACTGGTTCTTGCAAACAATTTTATAGAGGATGGGCATGGACCGGCCAGTTTATACAGAGGGTGGGGCTGCCAGAAATGACGTGATCAAGCCACTTTATAGAGCTGAACTTTCTTGCAAACCATTTTATAGAGGATGGGCATGTGGCCGTGGTTTTGGCCCATAGATGTCCATAGATTTTTAGGATGATTTTGGGAGATTGTCGTCATAGATATACGTAGATTCACCCAGTATTTTTTTTCCAAAAGTAAACAATCCATAGTTTGAATCTTGTTGGGTCACGCATGGTGAATCGGCTGGACATTTGCCAGCAGATTGGGAATACAATACTCAGCTAAAAGTTTTTGGTTTGGCATGTGTTTATGATTTATATATATTTATATATTGATGTGTGAATCATAGGTATACATATGTTCCAAAATACATCTACAACATATTCAATATACCAATCATCGCCAATCTATATGACACATTGAAAACAATAAACGTATATAAACGTGACATGTCTCATTTTCTTGTGGTAGCCTTCCCGTTGTACCTCTCCGTTGTAGTTTTCCCCCTTTACCTTGTTGTCAGCCCTTCCGTTTCCGGGTCAAAGTCCTGGAGCCCACTGGCTGGGGTATAAAGTGGCCATTCCAGGTAAAAAGGTGTTTTTTCAGGGGTTTTACTTGGACTGGCCACTTTATAGAGGCATTCTCTGTTGGGGGAGGGGGTATAAAGTGGCCATTCCAGGTAAAATTCTCTTTTTTCAGGGGTTTTACTTGGACTGGCCACTTCATAGAGGCATTCTCTGTTGGGGGAGGGGGTATAAAGTGGCCATTCCAGGTAAAAATGTGTTTTTTCAGGGGTTTTACCTGGACTGGCCACTTTATAGAGGCATTCTCTGTTGGGGGAGGGGGTATAAAGTGGCCATTCCAGGAAAAAATGTGTTTTTTCAGGGGTTTTACCTGGACTGGCAACTTTATAGAGGCATTCTCTGTTGGGGAGGGGGTATAAAGTGGCCAGTCCAACATAGATTCTGTTTTTTCAGGGGTTTTACTTGGACTGGCTGGCCACTTTATAGAGGCATTCTCTGTTGGGGGAGGGGGTATAAAGTGGCCAGTCCAACATAGATTCTGTTTTTTCAGGGGTTTTACTTGGACTGGCCACTTTATAGAGGCATTCTCTGTTGTGGGAGGGGGTATAAAGTGGCCAGTCCAACATAGATTCTGTTTTTTCAGGGGTTTTACCTGGACTGGCCACTTTATAGAGGCATTCTCTGTTGGGGGAGGGGGTATAAAGTGGCCAGTCCAACATAGATTCTGTTTTTTCAGGGGTTTTACCTGGACTGGCCACTTTATAGAGGCATTCTCTGTTTGGGGAGGGGGTATAAAGTGGCCAGTCCAACATAGATTCTGTTTTTTCAGGGGTTTTACCTGGACTGGCCACTTTATAGAGAAGAAGATTTCCCTTGAAAGGGGTCCTCAGGGTGAATGGGGTCCTGGGCAGCTCTATAAAGTGATTTGGGTGATGTATCTCATGACTCTATAAAATGCTCTGCCGCAATTTTCTTTCTATAAAGTGCCCTGGATGCAGCACAAATTCTTCTTCTTAAAGGGCAAGTTTCACTCTATAAAGTGCTTTGCCATGTATACAGCCCCAACAGAAAGATATTGGCCCGAAATCATTGGGGAGACATGTTTCTATAAAGTGGATGGTGTGACATATTATGGCCATTCTTTGAAGGGAACCAACGGTCTATAAAATGCATTGCCGCATATATTGAGTCGTTTCCTTGTGGGGAACCAGCCGGGTATAAACTGGAAAGCCAACGTTGCTATAAAGTCATCTTCCAGGTCCAAGAGCATGTTACTCGCGCAAAACACGGCTTTATCCCCCATTGTCGGTATATAAAGTGGCGACCGGAAACCCACTTTATAAGCGCAAAGGATGTCCACTTTATAGTGAGCTATACATGGGGGATCCTTAAACCATCTTAAACCAGCTTTCCCTAGCTTTTCCCTGCCCCATCTGAGCCCAAGCGTCACGCTCCGCATGCATTCCGCGGCTGCCTCCGGTGCTCCCTCGCCCCGCAGCCGCGTCAGCCATGCGTAGAGCCACTGCGACCAGTGACGCTCCAAGTCGTGGGACAACGGTTGGTAGAAACCTCCGCAGCCATCCGCAGCCCAGGTCTTTTTTTGTTGTACCGTCCCCCCCAAAGGGGGGGTCAAAAGCTAAGCTTCATTGGGGTCAACTTGGGTTCAAGTCACTAAGTCTTGAACTAAGCGCACTGAGATTTGATTCTTACAGTATACTATCCATGGTTTTTGGGATGGGTTGCTCTCCTTTTGTATTCTTAGCTTTGTCAAAAGTTGCGCACACTAGGAAAGAAGGTCAGCGGCTTTGGGGTGAAGATCCTCTGAATTCAAAATCACTTTTGTATTTGTTGATCATTTGCTTGATTGAATTTTCCCGAGCTCATATGTTGCCAAAAATACGCATGCGGCCCGTATTGACTATTGAATCCTGAGTTGCTTTGCCCCATGGCTCCCTGATTTCATTGTAAAGCATATTTTTGTGCACTATATTATTGATAGACATGACATGATAGACTATACTATACTATACGATACGATACTATACTATTACTTGGGGTACTTGGGGAACATGCCAGGAACCTGTAAACTTAATGGAGCCTCCTTTCAAATCAGCTATCAACTCTTCTCCCCAACTTGAAGTTCCAATCTACGGAATTAACAAACATAGACCCCCCCACTGATCTTTGCGGTCTTGATCAGTTGAGGGGATGCTCAATTGTTACCCTCTGGCAAATTTGTTACATAGCTATGGAAAACCACAATGTTCAATAGGTAAATCACCGAACTAAATGGACCATCTATACCTAGCAATCTGATGCACATTGTTTATGACCGGAGAATAGGGTAAGGTGGGGGAAGGGATTGCTCAGATATCTGAAACTTCCTGCCATGTGGCAGCCATCCAGGGGCTCTAAGAGGCTTCCGGTTTCCATCAAGTCGTCCCACTCCTGGCCATCAGTTGTAGAAGTTGTAAAGGGATCATAGCGGTGGGGCCAGGGTTTGCCTGAAATTGTTGGGACCCCTCCAAAAACTCACTGGTATGCCAGGTTATTCATTTTCTCCATAGATATGCGCTAAGAGGAAAATCCAATGATTCAAATGGCTCCATCCTAGAGCGCCATGGTCAAACTGTCTGATTCCTGAAACCGATGAGTCCTTCATTTCCCAATATGTGTCCAACAATCCCGGGCATAAACTCCAAACCATGGCCAATCTCAGATACTCAGCCCCACCCCAAAAAAAAATATCGGTTAACATATCGACCCCGTTATGGCGAAAGATTCCTACCCATCCAAGGGAACCACATGGAACCACTGCCGTCGCCGTTGCCTCCGCCACCAACGCCAACTGCCGCCAGGTGAGAGTCCAGTCCGCCTGCGACCGCTCCATCAGTCGGAGCAACTCATCTGAAAGCTGCACCGCTTCGGAGTCCTTGGATCTTGGGGGGTTGATCCAACCCCAACTTAAGGGTGCTGGACTGGGGTATACTGGGGTGATTTTGATGGTTATAAGTTTTTACTAACATGTTAGAACGTGGGTTCACCTCCATAAGTTGGGATATCATATGATATCACCCCTATATATAAGTATGCTCGATCATAATTGCATATCCATGGTATCCTCATGGGATCTTCGCGCGATCATCCGCCCTCCCACAGCGAGCAGAAACCTGCGGAATCGACGCATGGAAAAATCGACTGTGCTGCTTCAAAGCAGCAACACTTTGGAAACAAGGGTCCCAAAAGGAGAGGCCCAGCTTTTGCATGCGCACATCTGCGAAAGCCTCCCAAGTGGAACATTGGAATTCGAATGAATTCGAGCTATGACAATGGATTTCCAATGATTTCCACAAGCCCACGACATGCTCTGATCTGAACTCAGGTGCAGTTCTCGAAAAATTGCCCTACAATCCCAGGAACCTGCCATGTTGATGGCCTTCTGCGTGTCCATTTCCTGGCGCCTCTCCAAATATTCCAATTGTCGTGGTTTTATAGTTTGGTTGAATCATATGGGAACTGTTCCATACTGTTCCATCATTATCACCACTTAGATGTGGGTCAAACCTTATAGTCTTGACATATTCTTGACATCTACCGGCCAAATGATCCAAATGCCGCCTTGGCTCCAATGAATTTCCAGGTGTCAAGCCGAGTCAAGCCCTGCCATGGCCTCTGCCAGCAGCGAAGGAAACTCCCGCAGCAGCTCTTGTGCTTCTTCCCGGCCATCGCTGTCCAGCAAACTCTCCAAGGCACCTGAGCTGATGAAAAGGACAGCACGCAAGCGACCACTGACTCAGAGGTTTACAGATAATTAATGATGATAATGATAATGTGCAATTAATAGTACCCGTATATAAATAATATATAGCTTAATTAGGATTCATTATCATGACTCTTTAGCACCTACCGATGATTCAGAAATTGGTGGTTCCGTCTCTACAGACCGAGCATCGAATGGCGCTGGCGAAGTTGGCCAGTGCTGCTTTCGGTTGTAAGCGAAAAGTGAAATGCTCCGCTCCACCAGTCCAGCTACCTGTCGCAATGGAGCGATGGAGCCAAGAAGCTCAAGCCAATGCAATGGAGGATCATTGGATCATCGTGGAGAATGTACACATGTCAAACATTGTCAAAGCACATGCAAGTTATGAGGTTTTTTCGGCCCAATGCCAGTTCACAGTACTATCCAGGATGATGATCGACCGCTGGTGGTTTTCAATGACCAGGGCGCAGTAGTGTGGATTGTACTTCTCCATGAATCCGAAAGGCCCGAAGTCCAAAGTCTTTCCTCCCAAGTGGCAGTTATCCTGACATTGCACACATCTCCAGCTGTGGGGATTTGTTGCAAAGGACTGCTCACGACTCATTTAAGGACATCTTGAGGAAGCATGCATGAATCTGCACACATACAGAACTACACTATTCATCACTATTCTGTGTTTTCCATAGGCTGTGAAATCTAATGAGATAGCCACATGGCTTAGTCACATGCGAAGCGGCTGAAGGATGCCTCTCTTAAGAACTCCTAAGACTCCTCAAGGACTGTCAGGCCTTGGTCGGGAATATTCTCTTGTTTCCTTCAACAAACTATCCCTAGTTTGCGGGTTCCATAATTTTAGACAAATCGCCGCCAGTCTATATAGATATGCAAAAGATGAATTCTTATCACTTATCTCGTTAATTATATAATATATGCTTAGTATTTAGTACTACAATACGGTTCAAGGTTGGCTCAGTTGTTTAGGATTCACTGCTCGGTGCAGTCCAGGTGTCGGATTGAAAGTTTCCCTGACAGAAACCCACGCGCCACCACTCCGCTGCCAAACGGGCCATGCGGAGTGCCATTGGACGCAGCATGCGCTTCACTCTCGGCTCGGTGGTGTCGTCCGCATCCCAACATTCCTTTGGGATGTGATCTGTTGAATTGTATGGTACTTACGAGCAGATGGTGTTTCCCCCGAAATAATAGGGGTTCCATGGGGTTCCCAAATTGCAATTCTATGCAATTCTTATGGGAACAATGACATGATAAAAGATTGAGGGTACGCCTGCTATGACTCAAACCAGTGAGTGGAAAGCAATGGATCCAATCCTGACAAAACACACCCAGAACATCCCAGAACAAACGGATGATCAACCGAAAACCACCTGCTGAACAGCTCCAAAACCTACCGTTGCTTCCTTGTGCGCCTGACATAAACATCCATAAACCTCCAGGTGGGGATGGTAGACATTAAAACAGCCACCAGAAACCATGGCTGTTTTAATTTGAGACCATTTAAGGGATGTTTATGATTACGAGGATTGGATTATTGGGTGTTCATAAGGTTTCCGGGAACCCAAAGCAAAGGCCCCATCAGCTGTTGATGCTAAGAACATAATATGATAACCCAGACCCAGGCTTCATAAACCTGCACTCCAACCAATTATAGGGTACCGATTTCAATGGGAATTCAGAAAACCTATTCTTTGGGGGAACCACTCCTAAATTCAAAAATAACCAACAAAGTAACAAAGCTTAGTCATCCCAGGACATTCCTCCAAGCGTCTGGATATTCCCGCCTCATGGCGTGCATCACCAGCTGCCGCAACTCACTTCCCGGCTCCCCCCAGCTGCCATCGCGCGCACGTCGCGCGAAGAGTTCCAGATGCCCAACGCGCAAAAAGGAGCTCGACACTCGACAGGTCATAGCACACGGCTCGAAGAGTGTCTCACCTAACCATTCCTCAACTGCTGGATCTTGGTGGATCTTTCAGCTCATATGTCGATGTGACCGGGATCATCATCTGAAAGGGATGAAGTGAAGCATTCATAGTTGAAACCACCGAACAGAAAAGGTTGCTGAGGTCAGTTGCAACCTGCCAATACAAAATGACTACAGTATAAATTGGATCCGGATTTATGGCTTCAAGTATGGAGGGATTTTCCAAATCAACCCACGCCGATTTTAAACTATCCTCGAAGCTGATCCTTACTTACATGAATCCAAAATAATATCAATGCATTAATGGATCATACCACTTACCCAATGCCAAAATTGCTGGAAACCCCTTCCAAATCTGGCAAGTGTCTCTGGGTGCTGACTCTGACTCGGACATGACCAAGCACAAGGCTCGCGTCGTTGGAACGTTCAAGTGATACATTGCTTCCGAAGCTAAGAACTCGCGCAAACTCGATCGCAGGACAGCACGTCCATCAAATCCACGGCAGAACGGGGTACACCCTGCACCTGGAACGTTTCCATATGTTTCCATGAATCTCTGTGATGCGTCGCTGCGTCACCCCAGGGACATGAACAGGACACATGCAGGACACATGGTGGTTTTTCTAGTTTTTTCTTCCTTTTAAAAACCTCTTGCAACCCCTACAGTATGTGCTGATTCACCAGCCTGGCAGTTGGGGAAAATATATTAACATGCATATATATATATATGGTTGTTGATCAAAATTCCTTTATCCTGGAACGGCCATTCTTCGCGAATAAAAATTTTACTTTCGCGAACTCCATGTTTATCTTTCGCGCGGTCCATGTTGGCCAACAACACCTCTTATGAAGATTCGTTCACCACCTGCCAAATAACGCCAGAGAATCACGGATCACTTCTTGGTAGCCTTTTAAACATGCAGCTAGCATCACGGAATCCCTTCTCAGGACAGATTTTTTTTGCAAAGTTTACTGGCCCAACCCCTTCAACATGCACTTTGACTTTCGCCCACTCTTTCGCATAACTTTCGCGGAACTTTCGCGAAAATATCCCTATTCACAGACCCCGGCCATCAGCAGGGGGTGCACTGAAGGAAAAGCGAAGACCAGGGGCCTTGGTGTTTGGCTCTCGCAAAGCCTCACTTTTGGAAACTTGGCTACTGCTACTCGCATTCTCTGGTGCCCTTCTCCTGCCGGACCCCGGGCGGCAGTGGGTGGCAGCCCTTTACATATAATGATTATAATACCCAACTTTCGCGAAACTTTCGCGAAATAAAATTTTACTTTCGCGAACTGAAAAAAAACTTTCGCGAGGGTTTCCAACATAACATGCACGGCTTTCGCAATTAAAACTCCTTACAAGGACCTTTAGATCGATCACCATATATAATTATATATATATATATATATGTGTGTGTGTAACTCTATAATATATATATATAAATGAATATGTGGGATTTGGGTTCCCAACACTAGCACTTGGGCATCCAGCCATATCCAGCCTTTGAGTTGAAGTTCCCAGCGCTTCCCATCGTCCATCACCACTTCTCCCACGGAGATGCTTCGGCCGTCACCGTACATGTTTCCGGTGCTGATCTCCTTGGCTCAGGTGGCATCATCCCAAGCAGTCCGAAGCAATGCAGAGATGGGATATCCCATAGGATCCATGTATGGTATATATGCTAACATTTGGGGTATATTGATGGTAAATGTTACCATACATGGATCCTATGGGTATGAGATGAGATGCAGATAATGCCAAATCTATTCCAATAAAAATTGATGTCCTCCCTGGTTTCTTTTGGAGTACCCTATGTTCGACCATGTTTTCACGACAAACCCACTATGACAACGTCTCAAAACACTGGGCACTTGCCGAAGCCAGCGCTGACAAGAATCACTCCCAGCCACCGAGAGCGTGTATGGCGTACACCAGCTGGTCATCTTTGGAAGCACCTCCGTGTACCCTGACCTCAGGGAAACCCGCATCGGTTTCTCCAAGAATACCCATGAATTGTGGTCCATTATCCCCATTCAATCTGGTAAAAACACGTGACGTTACGTTAAAAACATCAACTTTCACATTAATACATGGCTATTTTAAGGGGAATCTGGGAATCCCATCCTCGGTCGACCATGACATGCATTGACATGTCACATGGCGGTCGACCTGTCGGCTGTTGGAGACAGCATACCCTCCAGCATACCGTCAGACCGTCATACCGTCATACCCTCCAAAATTCATTGAAAAAAATGGAACAGCGGGCCGGTCACTGCCGCTTCGTAAAATGAGGAACCTACAATCGAGATGCAGGTTGTTTGTTGAATTGCAAAGCCGTGGGTGAACGGTTACTCGCTTTTGTAACATTGTAGCAGCTTCTTTTTTAATTTGCAAGATCACATGAAGTTGACCACCATGAACGCCCATCGTGAAGTATACAAAGCTTCTTAGGTCTCCAGCCGTGCCCACAAACACCTCCAAAATCTCCAAAATTCAGCCGAGGGGCATGAATTGCAGAAAGTCCATGCTTTCACAATCTGTCTTGTCCAAGTTCAACTCTGCAGCCATGCTTGGGCTAAACGTCACCAAAGATGTGTTCCTTAGGTAAAAGCCACGCGGTTTGGGCGAGGCAGTGATGGAGAACACCTACCATTTAAGGACAAAAATCCCATCAATTATGGCAGTTGAGAAGTACAAACATTGTCCGAAGTCACGATAACTTGCGCGAGATGGGCAAGGCATCCCATCCAGACAAGGCATCGGTATCACTATGCGCAATCTTTTCACGCCGAAGTTCAACAATGGCGTTGGCTGCACGTTCACATAGTGGCCTTGCACATCACAGCTGGCCCAATGGCTCGCCCAAGCGATTTACATCGCACATCCTATCCACATCGACCGGAATGTCATTAATTACGTGTTTTCCAGGCGATAAACTGCTCCCAAGATCCAGGTCCATGGTCCCCCAGCCTGAAGACACCAGGCGCTTCTCCCGGTTGGGCTCATGCCTCTCCTCAGAGACCAAATCCCGCCCGAAGCTATGCTGAGACGCCAACCGGGTTGGGCCTAAGGAAGTCAGAGGCCTATAAAAACTGGTTGTCGGCAAGTGTTCTTCAGATGACAAATCATCTTGGTGATTCTTGATGATTCTTGGTGAACTTGCCGCAGAGCTGTCCATCATGTAGGCTCTCGCCGCCGAAATCAATAAGAGACGCACAGAATTCAGCCAGTATGTGCTGAAAAGGTGTGCCCTAATATGCGCTCAAAATCGCTCAAGGATTTTGCTGCTCTTAGGTGTTGTGCGGTTCCAGGTCGAGATATGGCCCCAAATTGGGTATGTAATTCAAAAATTCAAGAGCAATAATGGCAAGTAAGTAATTATGTAATGAAAAATCATGCGTCCGGGGTTAAATGATGTTAAATGTCTGGTGGAATAGCAGCTCGACTGACTGAAGCCATGCGCATGTCTCCTGGTCCGGCTCTGCGTGCAAATCCTGGACCCAGGAATGGTTTGCCCGCCTTTGCCTCGGGACAACCAGCAAAGCTTGGAAGGCATCATGGTAGTATCATCTAGTATCCATATAGTATCCATATAGTATCCATATAGTATCCATATAGTATCCATATAGTATCCATGAAAGCGTCATGGGAGTCTTGCTTCTTTTTCTGTTCTGTGAATCCCGGGGGCTTCCCCAAACAAAGTGGAGCTTTGTCCAACCATGTCCTACCTTGCTCTTGTCAGGTCATGTTGGAATCATGAATTCAGCCGAAAGCATTTTCGGAAAGCATTTTCGGAAGGCAAAGCTGTCCTCCCTGAGCCAATTAACATCAATTAACCACTGTGTGTTTTGAGCATTCCCATGAGGAAAGCTAATCATCGCCTCCATGGGAGGATCACCCATAGATTCCAACCGTTTTGGGATAACTAACCCCCATCCCCAAGCATCATAAGAGAGACATTGCGACATCTTGCGACCTGAGATCAGTGTCATTTATCGATATCCCAATCTATCCCACTCTATCCCCATCATACCACGCTATTTCTGTTGCTTAAATCATGTCTGTTGGTTAACTCCAGGTAACCAACATCAACAAATCACCCATGACCATGGATATCCATGGATGATTATGATTTCCCACGCCAAATGCAGCCACCGGTGCAAGTCGCGCAGTCCATTGGGCAACGCAGCGGTCCGCGCCGCATGTCGTCTGCCTCGTCTTCCGGGTCGAAACAAGCAGCTGGTCAGAAGGAGCGCCTCAGGAGACCATGAAGTCATTAGAAAATGATCCGCGGTGAAAATGAGGTAAATTCAAAGTCCGAAGAATTATATGTAGAATGAATATATGCGACTTTTTTTGTTTGATGTGTTGTTTGTCCATTTGATCAAATTTGATCCCTGGTTTGCCTTTTTCGTGTTCTGCCGGAGTTTCTTGAATAATTTGAATGTGAATTGCAGGTTCCCAGGATCAACGGCCAGACCCAGCCACTGGGACGCTCAACGCCCGGAAAGTCCAACTGGAACTTGGGTCACGCATGGTGAATCGGCTGGACATTTGCCAGCAGATTGGGAATACAATACTCAGCTAAAAGTTTTTGGTTTGGCATGTGTTTATGATTTATATATATTTATATTGATGTGTGAATCATAGGTATACATATGTTCCAAAATACATCTACAACATATTCAATATACCAATCATCGCCAATCTATATGACACATTGAAAACAATAAACATATATAAACGTGACATGTCTCATTTTCTTGTGGTAGCCTTCCCGTTGTACCTCTCCGTTGTAGTTTTCCCCCTTTACCTTGTTGTCAGCCCTTCCGTTTCCGGGTCAAAGTCCTGGAGCCCACTGGCTGGGGTATAAAGTGGCCATTCCAGGTAAAAAGGTGTTTTTTCAGGGGTTTTACTTGGACTGGCCACTTTATAGAGGCATTCTCTGTTGGGGGAGGGGGTATAAAGTGGCCATTCCAGGTAAAATTCTCTTTTTTCAGGGGTTTTACTTGGACTGGCCACTTCATAGAGGCATTCTCTGTTGGGGGAGGGGGTATAAAGTGGCCATTCCAGGTAAAAATGTGTTTTTTCAGGGGTTTTACCTGGACTGGCCACTTTATAGAGGCATTCTCTGTTGGGGGAGGGGGTATAAAATGGCCATTCCAGGTAAAAATGTGTTTTTTCAGGGGTTTTACCTGGACTGGCCACTTTATAGAGGCATTCTCTGTTGGGGGAAGGGGTATAAAGTGGCCAGTCCAACATAGATTCTGTTTTTTCAGGGGTTTTACCTGGACTGGCCACTTTATAGAGGCATTCTCTGTTGGGGGAGGGGGTATAAAATTGCCATTCCAGGTAAAAATGTGTTTTTTCAGGGGTTTTACCTGGACTGGCCACTTTATAGAGGCATTCTCTGTTTGGGGAGGGGGTATAAAGTGGCCAGTCCAACATAGATTCTGTTTTTTCTGGTGTTTTACCTGGACTGGCCACTTTATAGAGAAGAAGATTTCCCTTGAAAGGGGTCCTCAGGGTGAATGGGGTCCTGGGCAGCTCTATAAAGTGATTTGGGTGATGTATCTCATGACTCTATAAAATGCTCTGCCGCAATTTTCTTTCTATAAAGTGCCCTGGATGCAGCACAAATTCTTCTTCTTAAAGGGCAAGTTTCACTCTATAAAGTGCTTTGCCATGTATACAGCCCCAACAGAAAGATATTGGCCCGAAATCATTGGGGAGACATGTTTCTATAAAGTGGATGGGGTGACATATTATGGCCATTCTTTGAAGGGAACCAACGGTCTATAAAATGCATTGCCGCATATATTGAGTCGTTTCCTTGTGGGGAACCAGCCGGGTATAAACTGGAAAGCCAATGTTGCTATAAAGTCATCTTCCAGGTCCAAGGGCATGTTTCTCGCGCAAAACACGGCTTTATCCCCCATTGTCGGTATATAAAGTGGCGACCGGAAACCCACTTTATAAGCGCAAAGGATGTCCACTTTATAGTGAGCTATACATGGGGGATCCTTAAACCATCTTAAACCAGCTTTCCCTAGCTTTTCCCTGCCCCATCTGAGCCCAAGCGTCACGCTCCGCATGCATTCCGCGGCTGCCTCCGGTGCTCCCTCGCCCCGCAGCCGCGTCAGCCATGCGTAGAGCCACTGCGACCAGTGACGCTCCAAGTCGTGGGACAACGGTTGGTAGAAACCTCCGCAGCCATCCGCAGCCCAGGTCTTTTTTTGTTGTACCGTCCCCCCCAAAGGGGGGGTCAAAAGCTAAGCTTCATTGGGGTCAACTTGGGTTCAAGTCACTAAGTCTTGAACTAAGCGCACTGAGATTTGATTCTTACAGTATACTATCCATGGTTTTTGGGATGGGTTGCTCTCCTTTTGTATTCTTAGCTTTGTCAAAAGTTGCGCACACTAGGAAAGAAGGTCAGCGGCTTTGGGGTGAAGATCCTCTGAATTCAAAATCACTTTTGTATTTGTTGATCATTTGCTTGATTGAATTTTCCCGAGCTCATATGTTGCCAAAAATACGCATGCGGCCCGTATTGACTATTGAATCCTGAGTTGCTTTGCCCCATGGCTCCCTGATTTCATTGTAAAGCATATTTTTGTGCACTATATTATTGATAGACATGACATGATAGACTATGCTATACTATACGATACGATACTATACTATTACTTGGGGATACTTGGGGAACATGCCAGGAACCTGTAAACTTAATGGAGCCTCCTTTCAAATCAGCTATCAACTCTTCTCCCCAACTTGAAGTTCCAATCTACGGAATTAACAAACATAGACCCCCCCACTGATCTTTGCGGTCTTGATCAGTTGAGGGGATGCTCAATTGTTACCCTCTGGCAAATTTGTTACATAGCTATGGAAAACCACAATGTTCAATAGGTAAATCACCGAACTAAATGGACCATCTATACCTAGCAATCTGATGCACATTGTTTATGACCGGAGAATAGGGTAAGGTGGGGGAAGGGATTGCTCAGATATCTGAAACTTCCTGCCATGTGGCAGCCATCCAGGGGCTCTAAGAGGCTTCCGGTTTCCATCAAGTCGTCCCACTCCTGGCCATCAGTTGTAGAAGTTGTAAAGGGATCATAGCGGTGGGGCCAGGGTTTGCCTGAAATTGTTGGGACCCCTCCAAAAACTCACTGGTATGCCAGGTTATTCATTTTCTCCATAGATATGCGCTAAGAGGAAAATCCAATGATTCAAATGGCTCCATCCTAGAGCGCCATGGTCAAACTGTCTGATTCCTGAAACCGATGAGTCCTTCATTTCCCAATATGTGTCCAACAATCCCGGGCATAAACTCCAAACCATGGCCAATCTCAGATACTCAGCCCCACCCCAAAAAAAAATATCGGTTAACATATCGACCCCGTTATGGCGAAAGATTCCTACCCATCCAAGGGAACCACATGGAACCACTGCCGTCGCCGTTGCCTCCGCCACCAACGCCAACTGCCGCCAGGTGAGAGTCCAGTCCGCCTGCGACCGCTCCATCAGTCGGAGCAACTCATCTGAAAGCTGCACCGCTTCGGAGTCCTTGGATCTTGGGGGGTTGATCCAACCCCAACTTAAGGGTGCTGGACTGGGGTATACTGGGGTGATTTTGATGGTTATAAGTTTTTACTAACATGTTAGAACGTGGGTTCACCTCCATAAGTTGGGATATCATATGATATCACCCCTATATATAAGTATGCTCGATCATAATTGCATATCCATGGTATCCTCATGGGATCTTCGCGCGATCATCCGCCCTCCCACAGCGAGCAGAAACCTGCGGAATCGACGCATGGAAAAATCGACTGTGCTGCTTCAAAGCAGCAACACTTTGGAAACAAGGGTCCCAAAAGGAGAGGCCCAGCTTTTGCATGCGCACATCTGCGAAAGCCTCCCAAGTGGAACATTGGAATTCGAATGAATTCGAGCTATGACAATGGATTTCCAATGATTTCCACAAGCCCACGACATGCTCTGATCTGAACTCAGGTGCAGTTCTCGAAAAATTGCCCTACAATCCCAGGAACCTGCCATGTTGATGGCCTTCTGCGTGTCCATTTCCTGGCGCCTCTCCAAATATTCCAATTGTCGTGGTTTTATAGTTTGGTTGAATCATATGGGAACTGTTCCATACTGTTCCATCATTATCACCACTTAGATGTGGGTCAAACCTTATAGTCTTGACATATTCTTGACATCTACCGGCCAAATGATCCAAATGCCGCCTTGGCTCCAATGAATTTCCAGGTGTCAAGCCGAGTCAAGCCCTGCCATGGCCTCTGCCAGCAGCGAAGGAAACTCCCGCAGCAGCTCTTGTGCTTCTTCCCGGCCATCGCTGTCCAGCAAACTCTCCAAGGCACCTGAGCTGATGAAAAGGACAGCACGCAAGCGACCACTGACTCAGAGGTTTACAGATAATTAATGATGATAATGATAATGTGCAATTAATAGTACCCGTATATAAATAATATATAGCTTAATTAGGATTCATTATCATGACTCTTTAGCACCTACCGATGATTCAGAAATTGGTGGTTCCGTCTCTACAGACCGAGCATCGAATGGCGCTGGCGAAGTTGGCCAGTGCTGCTTTCGGTTGTAAGCGAAAAGTGAAATGCTCCGCTCCACCAGTCCAGCTACCTGTCGCAATGGAGCGATGGAGCCAAGAAGCTCAAGCCAATGCAATGGAGGATCATTGGATCATCGTGGAGAATGTACACATGTCAAACATTGTCAAAGCACATGCAAGTTATGAGGTTTTTTCGGCCCAATGCCAGTTCACAGTACTATCCAGGATGATGATCGACCGCTGGTGGTTTTCAATGACCAGGGCGCAGTAGTGTGGATTGTACTTCTCCATGAATCCGAAAGGCCCGAAGTCCAAAGTCTTTCCTCCCAAGTGGCAGTTATCCTGACATTGCACACATCTCCAGCTGTGGGGATTTGTTGCAAAGGACTGCTCACGACTCATTTAAGGACATCTTGAGGAAGCATGCATGAATCTGCACACATACAGAACTACACTATTCATCACTATTCTGTGTTTTCCATAGGCTGTGAAATCTAATGAGATAGCCACATGGCTTAGTCACATGCGAAGCGGCTGAAGGATGCCTCTCTTAAGAACTCCTAAGACTCCTCAAGGACTGTCAGGCCTTGGTCGGGAATATTCTCTTGTTTCCTTCAACAAACTATCCCTAGTTTGCGGGTTCCATAATTTTAGACAAATCGCCGCCAGTCTATATAGATATGCAAAAGATGAATTCTTATCACTTATCTCGTTAATTATATAATATATGCTTAGTATTTAGTACTACAATACGGTTCAAGGTTGGCTCAGTTGTTTAGGATTCACTGCTCGGTGCAGTCCAGGTGTCGGATTGAAAGTTTCCCTGACAGAAACCCACGCGCCACCACTCCGCTGCCAAACGGGCCATGCGGAGTGCCATTGGACGCAGCATGCGCTTCACTCTCGGCTCGGTGGTGTCGTCCGCATCCCAACATTCCTTTGGGATGTGATCTGTTGAATTGTATGGTACTTACGAGCAGATGGTGTTTCCCCCGAAATAATAGGGGTTCCATGGGGTTCCCAAATTGCAATTCTATGCAATTCTTATGGGAACAATGACATGATAAAAGATTGAGGGTACGCCTGCTATGACTCAAACCAGTGAGTGGAAAGCAATGGATCCAATCCTGACAAAACACACCCAGAACATCCCAGAACAAACGGATGATCAACCGAAAACCACCTGCTGAACAGCTCCAAAACCTACCGTTGCTTCCTTGTGCGCCTGACATAAACATCCATAAACCTCCAGGTGGGGATGGTAGACATTAAAACAGCCACCAGAAACCATGGCTGTTTTAATTTGAGACCATTTAAGGGATGTTTATGATTACGAGGATTGGATTATTGGGTGTTCATAAGGTTTCCGGGAACCCAAAGCAAAGGCCCCATCAGCTGTTGATGCTAAGAACATAATATGATAACCCAGACCCAGGCTTCATAAACCTGCACTCCAACCAATTATAGGGTACCGATTTCAATGGGAATTCAGAAAACCTATTCTTTGGGGGAACCACTCCTAAATTCAAAAATAACCAACAAAGTAACAAAGCTTAGTCATCCCAGGACATTCCTCCAAGCGTCTGGATATTCCCGCCTCATGGCGTGCATCACCAGCTGCCGCAACTCACTTCCCGGCTCCCCCCAGCTGCCATCGCGCGCACGTCGCGCGAAGAGTTCCAGATGCCCAACGCGCAAAAAGGAGCTCGACACTCGACAGGTCATAGCACACGGCTCGAAGAGTGTCTCACCTAACCATTCCTCAACTGCTGGATCTTGGTGGATCTTTCAGCTCATATGTCGATGTGACCGGGATCATCATCTGAAAGGGATGAAGTGAAGCATTCATAGTTGAAACCACCGAACAGAAAAGGTTGCTGAGGTCAGTTGCAACCTGCCAATACAAAATGACTACAGTATAAATTGGATCCGGATTTATGGCTTCAAGTATGGAGGGATTTTCCAAATCAACCCACGCCGATTTTAAACTATCCTCGAAGCTGATCCTTACTTACATGAATCCAAAATAATATCAATGCATTAATGGATCATACCACTTACCCAATGCCAAAATTGCTGGAAACCCCTTCCAAATCTGGCAAGTGTCTCTGGGTGCTGACTCTGACTCGGACATGACCAAGCACAAGGCTCGCGTCGTTGGAACGTTCAAGTGATACATTGCTTCCGAAGCTAAGAACTCGCGCAAACTCGATCGCAGGACAGCACGTCCATCAAATCCACGGCAGAACGGGGTACACCCTGCACCTGGAACGTTTCCATATGTTTCCATGAATCTCTGTGATGCGTCGCTGCGTCACCCCAGGGACATGAACAGGACACATGCAGGACACATGGTGGTTTTTCTAGTTTTTTCTTCCTTTTAAAAACCTCTTGCAACCCCTACAGTATGTGCTGATTCACCAGCCTGGCAGTTGGGGAAAATATATTAACATGCATATATATATATATGGTTGTTGATCAAAATTCCTTTATCCTGGAACGGCCATTCTTCGCGAATAAAAATTTTACTTTCGCGAACTCCATGTTTATCTTTCGCGCGGTCCATGTTGGCCAACAACACCTCTTATGAAGATTCGTTCACCACCTGCCAAATAACGCCAGAGAATCACGGATCACTTCTTGGTAGCCTTTTAAACATGCAGCTAGCATCACGGAATCCCTTCTCAGGACAGATTTTTTTTGCAAAGTTTACTGGCCCAACCCCTTCAACATGCACTTTGACTTTCGCCCACTCTTTCGCATAACTTTCGCGGAACTTTCGCGAAAATATCCCTATTCACAGACCCCGGCCATCAGCAGGGGGTGCACTGAAGGAAAAGCGAAGACCAGGGGCCTTGGTGTTTGGCTCTCGCAAAGCCTCACTTTTGGAAACTTGGCTACTGCTACTCGCATTCTCTGGTGCCCTTCTCCTGCCGGACCCCGGGCGGCAGTGGGTGGCAGCCCTTTACATATAATGATTATAATACCCAACTTTCGCGAAACTTTCGCGAAATAAAATTTTACTTTCGCGAACTGAAAAAAAACTTTCGCGAGGGTTTCCAACATAACATGCACGGCTTTCGCAATTAAAACTCCTTACAAGGACCTTTAGATCGATCACCATATATAATTATATATATATATATATATGTGTGTGTGTAACTCTATAATATATATATATAAATGAATATGTGGGATTTGGGTTCCCAACACTAGCACTTGGGCATCCAGCCATATCCAGCCTTTGAGTTGAAGTTCCCAGCGCTTCCCATCGTCCATCACCACTTCTCCCACGGAGATGCTTCGGCCGTCACCGTACATGTTTCCGGTGCTGATCTCCTTGGCTCAGGTGGCATCATCCCAAGCAGTCCGAAGCAATGCAGAGATGGGATATCCCATAGGATCCATGTATGGTATATATGCTAACATTTGGGGTATATTGATGGTAAATGTTACCATACATGGATCCTATGGGTATGAGATGAGATGCAGATAATGCCAAATCTATTCCAATAAAAATTGATGTCCTCCCTGGTTTCTTTTGGAGTACCCTATGTTCGACCATGTTTTCACGACAAACCCACTATGACAACGTCTCAAAACACTGGGCACTTGCCGAAGCCAGCGCTGACAAGAATCACTCCCAGCCACCGAGAGCGTGTATGGCGTACACCAGCTGGTCATCTTTGGAAGCACCTCCGTGTACCCTGACCTCAGGGAAACCCGCATCGGTTTCTCCAAGAATACCCATGAATTGTGGTCCATTATCCCCATTCAATCTGGTAAAAACACGTGACGTTACGTTAAAAACATCAACTTTCACATTAATACATGGCTATTTTAAGGGGAATCTGGGAATCCCATCCTCGGTCGACCATGACATGCATTGACATGTCACATGGCGGTCGACCTGTCGGCTGTTGGAGACAGCATACCCTCCAGCATACCGTCAGACCGTCATACCCTCCAAAATTCATTGAAAAAAATGGAACAGCGGGCCGGTCACTGCCGCTTCGTAAAATGAGGAACCTACAATCGAGATGCAGGTTGTTTGTTGAATTGCAAAGCCGTGAGTGAACGGTTACTCGCTTTTGTAACATTGTAGCAGCTTCTTTTTTAATTTGCAAGATCACATGAAGTTGACCACCATGAACGCCCATCGTGAAGTATACAAAGCTTCTTAGGTCTCCAGCCGTGCCCACAAACACCTCCAAAATCTCCAAAATTCAGCCGAGGGGCATGAATTGCAGAAAGTCCATGCTTTCACAATCTGTCTTGTCCAAGTTCAACTCTGCAGCCATGCTTGGGCTAAACGTCACCAAAGATGTGTTCCTTAGGTAAAAGCCACGCGGTTTGGGCGAGGCAGTGATGGAGAACACCTACCATTTAAGGACAAAAATCCCATCAATTATGGCCGTTGAGAAGTACAAACATTGTCCGAAGTCACGATACTTGCGCGAGATGGGCAAGGCATCCCATCCAGACAAGGCATCGGTATCACTATGCGCAATCTTTTCACGCCGAAGTTCAACAATGGCGTTGGCTGCACGTTCACATAGTGGCCTTGCACATCACAGCTGGCCCAATGGCTCGCCCAAGCGATTTACATCGCACATCCTATCCATATCGACCGGAATGTCATTAATTACGTGTTTTCCAGGCGATAAACTGCTCCCAAGATCCAGGTCCATGGTCCCCCAGCCTGAAGACACCAGGCGCTTCTCCCGGTTGGGCTCATGCCTCTCCTCAGAGACCAAATCCCGCCCGAAGCTATGCTGAGACGCCAACCGGGTTGGGCCTAAGGAAGTCAGAGGCCTATAAAAACTGGTTGTCGGCAAGTGTTCTTCAGATGACAAATCATCTTGGTGATTCTTGATGATTCTTGGTGAACTTGCCGCAGAGCTGTCCATCATGTAGGCTCTCGCCGCCGAAATCAATAAGAGACGCACAGAATTCAGCCAGTATGTGCTGAAAAGGTGTGCCCTAATATGCGCTCAAAATCGCTCAAGGATTTTGCTGCTCTTAGGTGTTGTGCGGTTCCAGGTCGAGATATGGCCCCAAATTGGGTATGTAATTCAAAAATTCAAGAGCAATAATGGCAAGTAAGTAATTATGTAATGAAAAATCATGCGTCCGGGGTTAAATGATGTTAAATGTCTGGTGGAATAGCAGCTCGACTGACTGAAGCCATGCGCATGTCTCCTGGTCCGGCTCTGCGTGCAAATCCTGGACCCAGGAATGGTTTGCCCGCCTTTGCCTCGGGACAACCAGCAAAGCTTGGAAGGCATCATGGTAGTATCATCTAGTATCCATATAGTATCCATATAGTATCCATATAGTATCCATATAGTATCCATATAGTATCCATGAAAGCGTCATGGGAGTCTTGCTTCTTTTTCTGTTCTGTGAATCCCGGGGGCTTCCCCAAACAAAGTGGAGCTTTGTCCAACCATGTCCTACCTTGCTCTTGTCAGGTCATGTTGGAATCATGAATTCAGCCGAAAGCATTTTCGGAAAGCATTTTCGGAAGGCAAAGCTGTCCTCCCTGAGCCAATTAACATCAATTAACCACTGTGTGTTTTGAGCATTCCCATGAGGAAAGCTAATCATCGCCTCCATGGGAGGATCACCCATAGATTCCAACCGTTTTGGGATAACTAACCCCCATCCCCAAGCATCATAAGAGAGACATTGCGACATCTTGCGACCTGAGATCAGTGTCATTTATCGATATCCCAATCTATCCCACTCTATCCCCATCATACCACGCTATTTCTGTTGCTTAAATCATGTCTGTTGGTTAACTCCAGGTAACCAACATCAACAAATCACCCATGACCATGGATATCCATGGATGATTATGATTTCCCACGCCAAATGCAGCCACCGGTGCAAGTCGCGCAGTCCATTGGGCAACGCAGCGGTCCGCGCCGCATGTCGTCTGCCTCGTCTTCCGGGTCGAAACAAGCAGCTGGTCAGAAGGAGCGCCTCAGGAGACCATGAAGTCATTAGAAAATGATCCGCGGTGAAAATGAGGTAAATTCAAAGTCCGAAGAATTATATGTAGAATGAATATATGCGACTTTTTTTGTTTGATGTGTTGTTTGTCCATTTGATCAAATTTGATCCCTGGTTTGCCTTTTTCGTGTTCTGCCGGAGTTTCTTGAATAATTTGAATGTGAATTGCAGGTTCCCAGGATCAACGGCCAGACCCAGCCACTGGGACGCTCAACGCCCGGAAAGTCCAACTGGAACGATTTGTCGAGTCAGGTGGGCCACCCAGTGGTGTCACCACGCGGCGCCAGGATACTTGCGGCCAACTACATGACTGCATCCAGTGGGTCAAAAATCCCAAACCAATGGTGAGTGAAGGTGAAAAAGACAGGATTTGAAATAAACATGTTGGAAACTGCCCTTCTTGGGCGGTAGTAGGTTCTCCGATTGTGAGATGAGTCATGTCTGAAAAAGTTCATTTTTTTGTTCATCTCGAGTTGCTGGAGTCTTTGTCGGCAGCTTCTCATAAGGCTTTCAGCCATGTTTGTTTGGATTTGTTCCAGCTGATGAGAAGAAATGCACAAGGAAAGCATGGGCGATCCCCGCTTCAACCCGTCTGAACGGTTGCTTTTTGGACTGAAGACCATCATCGAAGGAAAGAAACATCTATAACTACCATGTTGAAACATCAAACAGGATGTTATAATTTATATATGCATATGTATAAATATGATATATCATATCCATCTGATGTTGCCTGATTGTACGAGCACCACCATGTTCAGTTGTTTGTTCATTATGCACCTCAGTTCCTGCTCCATCAACATGCTAGCTGGGCCTTCCATCAATTCCATTCAATTACCAGGTACAGGATGCTGACGCTAACAAACCTCCAATGCAAATGACTTGTGGTGGCCTTGTGGTGGCCTTATGTTCAACCTACAAACTCAACACTGGTTGGTGGTTTCAACCCCTCTGAAAAATATTAGTCAGTTGGGATGATTATTATTGATTAATTCCCAATATATATGGAAAAATAAAAAAGATTCCAAACCACCAATCAGCAACAGAATCACCAACATCCAAGCCGTCAACAGGATCCAGGGCTTCCTCCCTCGGCTGCAGGCCCCCGTTTTCAGATCGCTCTCAGCTTTTCCGCCTGGACCTGGCTCGAAACAAAGATAGGGGCACCGTTGCCGACAAAATGGGCGAAATTCTGACATTAAACTCATTAAACCATCCATTTCAAGTGGTTACATATAATTTTTGACCCATATCTACACGATTTGTTGAATTTCTTGATTCCATGGATTTATTGAGCTGATCAAGTCGAATGGGCAGTTGGTTTCATGCTTCACCGCCACCGCCACCCGGATTCAAATGACAACATATGAGGGCACGTGGCTTGTGCCAGCCAGGTTGCTAGTCATCATGGTCCTCATGCTACACCAACATAATCAAACTCCTGAAAGGCCTTCGGTTAAACCACCAGGGGTCAGAATCCTGCAAACCAAATAAAAGGATAAACGAAAGCAACATTGCCTGACCCCCCGGAGGCAAACAACAAAAACAAAATCTAGGTGCACCACACGTTTGACAGCAACCGGTTCATTTATGTAGTCAAGTCAGCCTTGCATATATGATGAATCAACATAAAACAACGGTGGGCTAAGGATGGCTAAGGTATGCGTTAACATTCGTTAACAAACACGGCCGGGCATCATGGGGCTTTCTGGGCTGCCATGTAGCACTCAGGAAAGCATCTCAAGGGTGTGTCGTCCTTGCTTCCAATTAAAACTGTTACGATTTAGGCCCGCATATCATTATCTATCCGAACTTCTCTGGAGCACAAACTTTTGCTATAACTGGTGCCTGACCCCATTTCATTGCAATATGTCCAAATAGAATTACACGCGCCCGCGGGTCCACACACTTTTATCAGCAATCCTTGAAGGCAAAAGTTTTGCAGTGTCCGCTGTATGGATTTGTATCTAATTTCAATTTTGCCAAATCTGAATCTTGAAATAACATGTCCTTTCCAGGCTTTGTCACGAAGCTGACCCCCCATGATTCTGTTTGTCACTACCCAAGCGGGTTCATAACCAATACTTAATCCCAACTGCTCCTGTCGTGGCATGGATACACATGCGAATCATGAGATTCCTCCTTCATGGCATTCCTCAAGTACCTCCGTGAGATGACAATGTGCCAAGCCTGCGCCCTCGCACCGTGCTGCTTGCTTTGGGGCCTTCACTTTCAAGATGCACCTTCGGGAGTGGAACTTGAATGATTTCCCATTGGGACATGTGGGCAAATTTCTATGGACACCAATGGATACCATCCCTATCATTGGCCACCGGACTGCAAGCCCTCAGGTTCCCAACCTCCGACTCCTCCGCGTTCTCCTCCTGCGTCTCCTCCGCTTCGAAGCTGCGCTCCTCGATTTCCTCGCTCCCTGTCCCAGTTTCGGCTTCAACTGGCGCTTCTGCAGCCTGCAGAAGTGGCAGCATGGGCTGTACCCACACACCCACCAGATTATGAAGGTTGGGGGTCAAAATGGACATCTGATGATCCTACATTGGAGTATGAACCCATGCAAGACATATTGAACAGAGTGTGTGGCTGATGGCATGTGAAATGTCAAGGACATGCCCAAATCCCCAAACCATGCCCCCAAAGAGACGATATTCATTCACTTGGATTTGCTGAAGGAATCTTAAGGATCCCCAAAAGAATCAAACATATCCCCTATATCCCTATATAGATTCCGCATTTCTAGTTTTCCGGGAAAATAAACCAAATCATCAGCAAAACCAGGTTCACTCTGGCAATAGGAAAGTTTACCATTTGGGGATTCTGTTTTCGCCACCCATAAATCTGATGAGTCTTTAGGTTTATGGCATCTGATCTTTACCACATCATTAAACCATCCAACCAGTCGGTTTACAGTAATTACCCAGTTCCACCGGTGTAAACACTATTTTTAAACAAATCCAGAAACCAACATTACTCACATCACATTCAAAAACATCAGAACGATAAATTGTGTCTATCACTATAACCTTATTTAAAACAAAAAAACAAACAAACTTATTAAAAAAAACACCAATTTGAGAAAACGGTCATAAACCAGCGTTTAGATCTATACCCTCTGGTTATTTAACATATTGAACATTGCCATAGAAATAGTGGATTTTCCCATGAAAAATTGTGATTTTCCATGGCTATGTTAGTCATAACCAGAGGGTAAATAGTGGCCACCTAAGTCACATCCACCGATCGGGCCACGCCTGAGACTTCGCCGATTTCGCCAAGGCCTCGATGAGATGCGCGTCCTCCTGCGGCCGCCAGGCCGCCTGGAAGGCGGCACGGCGCTCGGCGCGCCTGGCGTTGCAGATGCATAATTGTATTATATATATATATATATAGATAGATAGATAGATAGATAGATAGATAGATAGATAGTCTATTAATTACATATATATATGTTCTATATATAATTTGACATGGTTATGTTCTATGATTTAACTATACAATCATTGGATATTGTATATATACCATGGAACAAATTGATATTTAACACACACACAAATATATATATAGAGTAGTATCAATATTGTATATACTTCAGTTATAATATATTATAGAGTGTATATATATATATATATATGTTTGTGTGTTTGTACATGCATAAAAGCAATATCAAGGAATATATCAACATATTATACCTCTACTCCAAGCTCATATGGTTACTTCTCCAAATGGCCAAAGTTGCTGGGTCTGACGCTTGGACCCATTCGCTTGCCAAAAAAAAGAAAAGGAGTTGAATGAAACCTCAATTACAGGTAAGATGTCGTTGAAGCCGCATCTATTAGCAATATTCAGGAATCATATCTTTAGAACCTGCCAAGGAATGAGACGCATTAATCACATGCTCTTTTACCCTTACAGTCTCCAACTAAAAAAAAACACATCACCAAAATACGTTTGCCTCATCCGAAAGTAGCAAAACACATTTTTGCAGGGGGCAACCAGTCTTCATGCAATCTCTCATGCAAGCCAGAATGCTTGTGGAGAATGTCATGTCTGTTTAAGTTTAAGTATTTCCTCTTCTTGATCAGCCCACCAGACTCAACCAGAATTTAGTCATTATATACTCAACACGATTTCTCACGTTCATCTTCAAGGCTGCTGTGGCCAGATATCCCCTGGATTTCAGGCCTCAACCAATCGTCCCAGCCCAGCGCGTGGAAGGATTTGGCAAAGTGATCCGGCACAGGCCTCAGACGGATGGAAAACAGCGTTGGGCAATTCTCATCTGGAGGTTTCCTAAAATGGGGGTACCCTAAATCATCCATTTTAACCAGATTCTCCATTATAAACCATCCATTTTGGGGTACCTCCATTTATTGGACACCCCATCTAGAAACATGGCGGGGATGTGATGTTGTATCATGACATATCTGTACGAAAAAAGCATCTCAGAGGCCCTGGGAGTTGGCCATGGTCAGAGGAACAAAATGAGGGCCATGAGGCACACCCCATATTTTTTTTACACCCCAGGTTGAAACAAAACCCAACATTGCCAATCTGAGATACCCTGGAAAAGGTGTCTACGTCCCCGTTTGTCACAGGATAAAGAAATGCCCGGGTTTACAAAGATTTTACCCCAGCCAGTGCCATTCAAACCTAACCAAAGTTTTACAGGTCAATAGCATGTGAGGAAATATATATTTCATTTGGCAAAAACCTCGGTTTTTCCAAAGAATTAAATCTCCATTATATCCCCTTATTCTAGGTGGTTTTACACCCAGTCTTTACATGCCTTTAATAGCCCCAGTAGTTTTCCAAGTAATATCCAAATTCATTTAAACATGTCAAAACCTGATTCCACCCGTAGTTTCCCAAGTAACAAGTGCTTATATATGGGCACGGGTTTAAGTGGCATGGAGGGGGGCCAGAGCCAATTTCAATTATGGACGGGGGGGGGTCCTTGATTTCATTTACAATTTCACTTTCATCCCGGCCCTTGCGCACCGACATGCAACCGGTTCAAGCGGCGACCTTTTTTTTAAATCAGCCAGGCAGTTGCTTGGTCGAAAAAGTCGCCCAGACCTGAGCCCATTTCGTCCTCACGTCGCGTCACCTGGCAGCTGGGGGGTTGGCGGTGATTTATGGTTAATGGCTGAAAGTAATTTTAATGAAGATATAACCAACATTAACCAACAATAATAAGAATATGTTCACTATGAACGTATATAGATTTAGATTTATAAATATTATATATTTATATTTTCTATTCATGCTTTTTATAAATGAATATTTTCATTCTTACTGGTAAATAGCGGCACCCCCAAACCAATGGTTGATGATGGTTAACAACAATAATAAGGTGATATAACCACTAATAACCACTAATAAGAAGGATATCATGGATGATACATAGAGGCCCCCCCAAACCAATGGTTTATGATAGTTAATAACCAACAATAATGGGATATCACCGCTAATAATAGGGATATCATGGATGATAAATAGGGGCGCCCCCAAACCAATGGTTTATGACAGGTAATAACCGGGCGAACTGTCGGTTGTACACTTGAGTTCTGTGTCGGTTGATGTCGGTTGTACACTTGAGTTTTGTGCCGGTTGTACACTTGAGTTTTGTGTCTCTTGTGCACTTAAGTTTCGGGTCACTTGTACACTGTTGTTTTCTGGGTTGCTTTGCAGACCGCAGTGCAGGCCACGTGCAGTATGAGGTGGGGTGGGGTGTGATGTTAATGCCAGCGGGGCAGAAAACGTACGTGTAGTCGTGCGCATTTTCAGCAAGAGTATTTGTTCATGACGTGGATGGTGTTTGCTTTGAGCATCATTCTTGTGCTACTTACTATGTTGTTCCATCATACCTACCCCACCCCACCCCACCTCACCCCACCCCACCGCACCCCACCCCACCCAGACCCTAAAGTGTCAATGATGTTTGATCGTGAACATCACTCTTGTATTGCTTACCATGTTGTTCCATCATACCCACCCCACCCCACCCCACCCAGACCCTAAAGTGTCAATGATGTTCGATCGTGAACATCACTCTTGTATTGCCTACCATGTTGTGCCATCATACCCACCCCAACCAGACCCTAGAGGGTCAATGATGTTTGCCCGTGAACATCATTCTTGTATTGCTTACCATGTTGTGCCATCATACCCACCCCAACCCCACCCCACCCCACCCAGACCCTAAAGGGTCAATGATGTTTGCTCGTGAACGTCATTCTTGTATTGCTTACCATGTTGTTCCATCATACCAACCCCACCCAGACCCTAAGTGTTAATGATGTTTGATCGTGAACATCACTCTTGTATTGCTTACCATGTTGTGCCATCATACCCACCCCAACCCCACCTCACCCCACCCAGACCCTAAAGGGTCAATGATGTTTGCTTTTGAGCATCATTCTTGTGCTACTTACTATGTTGTTCCATCATACCCACCCCACCCCACCCCACCCAGACCCTAAAGTGTCAATGATGTTTGCTCGTGAACATCTTTCTATGTTGTTGATGACCCCCTTCCCTCATGTATTGTGTCCAAGTGCGCAAGTGACGGCTAATTTGGCTTTAAGTGCGCAACTGACGTCGAGTGCGCAACTGACGTAAAAGTCCAGTGCGAAAGTGACAGCAACGCCTAATAACCAACAATAATGGGATATAACCATTAATAATAGGGATATCATGGATGATAAATAGGGGCACCCCCAAACCAATGGTTTATGATAGTGAATTACCAACAATAATGGGATATAACCGCTAATAATAGGGGTCTCATGGATGATAAATAGGGGCACCCGCAACCATAGTGGTTGATATAACCAACAATAATGGTTTCTACAACCAGTAATAGGGATATAATATAATAGTATGATGGGTCCATGCCGGGCCTCTCAGCGAGCAGTGCAGCAGGCAAAAACCGTTCCTCTCGTCCGGCTGTGGGGTTGCCACTTGAACACTGTGGTTGCAGATCGCATTGGAATGGCTGCGTGAATGTTGCATGGGCTATGTTTTGGGGAGGAAGCCGGAGCACGAAACCTTGCGTTTTTCATGTAAAGTGGCTGCAGGCGACGATGAAAGGTACCTCGTGTGTGCGACGGGTGCGGCTGGGGTCGTTTCATGCGCGAATTGTTCCTCCTATGTGTTTTGCAACGAGTGGTTGTTCCTGTGCGCGTAGTTCTATGCGGTTCTTGCAGCTGTGGTTGCAGATCGCATTGTAATGGCTGCATGAATGTTGCATGGGTTATGTTTTGGGGAGGAAGCCGGAGCACGAAACCTTGTGTTTTTCCGCGTAAAGTGGCTGCAGCCGGCGAAGAAAGGTACCTCGTCTGTGCGGCGGGTGCGGCTGGGGTCGTTTCATGCGCGAATTGTTCCTCCTATGTGTTTTGCAACGAGCGGTTGTTCCTGTATGCGTAGTTCTATGCGGTTCCTGAATCTCTGGTTGCATGATCGCATTGGA